CCTAAGTGAGGGGTCATATGGTTTCAAGGCTTTTAGTAGCTTTTGTTCAAACTCGCCATAATTCATTATAATCAACCGAGTGTGTTCATTTCATACTTGACTAGTCATTCAACCATTGCAGTCATGTTTTCGGTAATATCTAAATTACTGCTCAAAAATTCATATCTCCCTCTTTCATTTACTATTATAAAATCTTGGATTCTGCAAAATAGAAAAGTATAGGAAGCCTATTTAGAACGCAATAAACATGATGAAACAAGACTGTATTAACTTGAAGATAGTTTGTTTCAAACAAATGGATTAGAACAGTGGCATGTAGCAGAAAATGATCAAATTTCACAAATTTCATAAAGTAGGGATGCTTAGAACCATAATTTATCTTGTTGTCGCCATGACTGATTGAATACGTAGTACGACCAGTATCTTCAAGGTACTGTGTTTAAATTTTGCATTATCATCTGATACCATGAAACTGCTAAATGACTATATTAAATTTGTGAGCATCCATTCTAGATTAGTTTTCGGTATAATGCTTTGTTAGATATTTAAGTTTTTTCCAGAAAATCCTGAAGATACAAAATTTTATTGTCCTGATAAAAGTTTCGCACGAACAACTAATCCATGAGAACTTTGTTTATACGTCATGATGCTATTTTCTTTCATTCAACAGGAATTGCCGGATCTCAAATTCATAACAACCAATATTGATTTTCGAGATGCTATTAACATCGATCATTTTTATCACGCTATCAAGCTATTTATAACAATATTATGATGTGACAATCTTCATAAAAATGGAAAGTATGCACACTTGAATATCTAAAAATAGTATATTCATCGTATAATGCAATGAAACAGATGTTTCAGAATTATATACTCAAATATATATGAACAAATCAAATCATTTTAAAAGCACCTAGTCTGCTGAAACAGTAGAAATAGATACAATATTAAAAGCTTTCAATGTTCTATTCATATCTCTGATATCTTCTTTCAAAATGATGAATCGTTGTGCAAATGATCATTAATTTTTCTGTGATTTTTTGCATTAATTTGATAGATTAAATGCAGCCGAATTCTAGGTAAACTTTTTCTGCTCAAATAAGAATAATTGCAAAAATATTAAGACAAACGATCTTTCTCATGGACTACAAAATAGCTGCTTTTTAATTTTGCATTAATAGATCCTCCTTAGCGAAGTAATGAATTCAGATGATTTTAATCTTATTCTGTAGATAGGCACCGCATATATATGTAGTAGAGTTTTGGTGACTATTGATGCGGATGTGGGTGTGGGTGTGGGTGGGGTGTGGGGGTGGGGGGGGGGGGTGGGTGTGTGGGTGGGTGTGGGTGTGGGTGTGTGGTGGGTGTGGGTGTGGGTGGGTGTGGATGTGGGTATGGGTGTGGGGTAGAGAGTAGCGGGTCCAGGTTTTTATGGACCCGGACCCAGACCCGGGTGATATCAAATTCCCAGACCCGGACCCGGACTCGGGCCCGGGTGGCATTAATTTTCTAGACCCGGGCCCGGGCTTGATATATACGGACCCGGACCCGGTCGGGTTCAGACCCGGACCGGGTCCAGACCCGTTAAGTGTTTCGCCAATATTTAGCACCATCTGTATATAGGAACAAGTAAAGACTCATGGTTTTAGCTAATTATTGGCTATTCACAGAGGAAAAGTGTATATACAGGTATTTCCTGTTGTTCACTTGTTCATCATGCAACATGATGCTTAATAATTAAGATTTTACTGCTTAACTGAAAAGAACATTATGCCAACCAAAAAAGCAAACTAGGGAGTTAATTGATAATCAAAACTCATCATTAAAAACTCCCAAACCAACAGTAACTTATTAATATTCGTCTACTTTTTTGTTTATTTTTCTTGTTTTTTTCAACTTCATTTGTTATTTGTATTTCAAATGACTTTTTAATTTCAAAACTAAAAACAGCCAAGAAATTTTGAAACAGAATACAGAAAATATTATACGATGACCTAAACTCTCCAGTATTTAGATTAGACTCGCAGTTGAATGCAAACCGGGTCTGAAAGTAAATCACATATAGACCCGTACCCAGGCCCGGACCCGGGTGATATCAAATTTCTAGACCCGGACCCAGACCCGGATCCGGGTGGCATTAATTTTCTGGACCCGGACCCGGGTCCGGGTCCGGGTCTGGACGGACCCGCTACTCTCTAGTGTGGGGTGTGGGTGTAGGTGCTGGTTTAAGCCAATAATCACACCCACCGCCACCCACACCCTGATCGCGACCTGGCAACGTTGCCGTGTGAGGCGTATATTGCCATAAACGAGCAGTGCACAAATGGTCATGTTCAAGATCGGATGAACACCTACCATTAACAATCGCGTAAATAACCTTGGCAGTACGCAACCTAACTATTATATGTAACTCGAAGGTTTAGGGAGGAGTATTATCTACAAGTATCTGCGGCTGTCTGTAACTGAAGGTAACATACTTAACCCTCGGAAGGAAAAATATTTTTTTTACTTCAACTCCGAATTCTCTAGCAGTTTGCAGTCATAAATCATAATACCATGATCCAAAAATTCAAAATTCCATGGTGAAGAAATTCATGATATCATGATCGGAACATTTCCAAATTATAAACTACAAATAAAGTTCATCGAAAACCGATTCATTTGTTCCTAGATTGAAAGATAATGAAATTTAAGATATTTATTCAGCCATTATATACAGTAACATAAAAGTCATTGGACAGTCTTTGATTATGAATAACTTTTGACAGAAACTAGACAGAGAGCTACGAGTTCATCGTTCGAAAGAGGGGGTATGCTGTTACATAGTTTCATGTAGTACCCAATGATGTTGTTAATTAGCAAGTCACTAGTTTTCGGAAAAATAATAAAAAAAATAAAAGTTCAATTCTGAGAAACGCATTGGATCCATATACTCACAATCCACGTCCTCGCCTATATCCAAAATACGTATCTTGTTTCGTTCAAAAGGTATAACTTCAATGCCGGATGATGAGAATGTGGGCATTGATCACAAGTTTACGGGTCCAATGCGCTTCTTAAAATTGGACTATTATGTCATTTTCATAGAGCTATAATTAGTTTTTCGAAAACTAGTCATTCATCAATGAATAACATTGTTGAGTAATACATGGAACTATGCAGTGACACACCGTCTTTCGAACAATGAAACTGTAGCTCTTAAGACGATTTAGCTACCAATGAACTTACCATTAATAGATTTGCTTTATGTATCATCTTTGTACGTTGCTGCAAACGCAGTGAAGAACTTGTACTCATTCTTCGATGGTACATGATCACAAGTGACCCCAATCGATCCTCTCTCAATGCCCTATATTATACATATTAGTCTAAAAACATATAGTATATTTAAATTTGCTTGACGAAGCAATTTACTATGCGGCAAGTTTTCATGACTCTAGTCGATTCACTTGTCTAATGGTATATTTGATTTCAGTGCTGAGTTATTCGATAAATTCATTTTTTGCTTTCGTATTTGTTCGGTTACTAGTGGTTTTTGTCATGTATCATTCTTCGAAATACTACTTACTTATTTGCGTAATCTCATACTTTTGAATATTCATGTTGGTGAATGGCCTTTAGTACATAGAAATGAAAATGTTAAAATGATGTCCGATGAATAGTCGCATAACGCATTACATTTTTTTAGCAATTAAAATCGATTTTCTCTTTGATGAACATAATCTTGACTGACTTGAACAACGACTAATTGTTCTCATGCGTGTCGAGGTCAGCAACCGTTCGTTGCGCCATTGATTTATTGAATGCATTACAGACGATGACGATGATCAATAAATAATAATACTTTCGATCTTGCAATTTTTACGGAATTTTCAGATGATTACTATCAAATCTTGCGAAATTGCATCTAAATAAATTCCTATCGAATGATCAAGAAAATTGGATCCCTTATAATGTTCAATTTTTCCTAACAGAATTTCAATCGTCTTGGCTCATGTGTTAATCAAAAGATTTATCGTTACGAATAATGTCACATAGCTTCAATGAGGTTAACTTTCGAATGTTGGAATTTTTTTTTGTCGAAAAAAATGATCACTTTTTTTCTATGATTTTACGAAGAAAAATATATACCATGATAAATTTATTCTGTGTGATATACAGCTACAATGATGGATAAAATTTTTCGTAGGATTTTGTTTTAAGTGTAATTCCATTAAGAACCTATCTTTTGACAAGTGGTATTAGAGAGGCAACAGATGACACTATGTTGTTGCTAACTAATTACAGACTTAAAAAGTATTAAAGTAGTAGAAAGTACTTTGAAAGGTTGAAACTGTTTTGTTTTGTTTGTATCGAAAAAGTGTAAAATAGTCACTAAAATAGTATTGATGTAATTTTTAAATATTGTTAAAAGAACAAGGATAAATCGAAAACGACTCTATCGGAATTGGTAACCCACGTCGAATCAAGAAATTATACACACGATTTTGTAGAGCAACTCGCAATACATTGAATGGTATATAAGAAATCAAGTTTTGATATGCTTAGGATGTACATACTGATTATAATACTCAAAGAATAGTATATACAGTAAAATCTCTCTATAGTGAACACCTTCGAACCTTTCAAAAGTGTCAGACTAAGGGAGGTTTTACTGCAGTACTCATAGACATTAAATAGTAATAATAGACAATGCGACTCAGAGAATAATACTGTAGTTTCTTTCTTTCTTGAGTTAAGCTTGGTTTCAAACTAGAAATAATCTAACAAACTTAGAAATTTATCGAAGTGCAAGTTTTTACAAAGAAGAACTCTTTGTATTGTTGAAGTGTTCGGCTCGATTTCTATTTCAATAGAGTATATCAACGGAGATGAAAAAAAAACATTTTATTTTAACCGAAAGTGAACAAACAGTTGCATGTTTAAATGTACATAGATGAGTTAATTTAGAAAAATATAGTGCAAAAAAAAACGATGAAATGTATGTCTAAGTGAAACTATTGTATAAGACATTTTGAATCTTTCATCACCATATCGTCTGGTGGAATGGATTTTCCATATTTCAAATCTCGTCCATACATTTGTGTCAATGTTTTCAATCTTGTACGAATATCTGATGTTAATTGAGACCATTGAAAACGCCAAGACCAATTTTGAGGACCATTATGATCCATATCAGATGCTAGGAAAAAAAAGAAACAAATGACAGTTTGATCTTCACTAAAGAGAAAAAGTGGACTTCGAAAAAATGTCAAAAAAAAGAAACGGGAAGAGGATTGATTCTTCGCAACACTCAGGGATGTCGCGAAGTGACCAGAATTGGGGAAGGAGGAGTCGATCATTTTTTGAAGAGATTGATGAGCAAAGAAAAAAACAAGAAAACGCTAGAGTTCCATTGAGAAAAAACGAAACGTTGAGAAAGTGATGCTTATCATTATATTATAGTTAACGTGAGGTTATGCTTGAAGTAAAACCTAAAATTAGACTGATAGCTACATCACATTTCTTTCTTTATTCATGGAAACACATGTATAGTTCGATCATATTCTCTTCACTGGATCACATAGGAAAAAAACACCGGTCTGTCTATGTAACTGTGTTTAACCTTCCTTTAAGATCGATAATACTAGACAATGACTCATAGTAGTGTCGTCTCTAATTACTTGTATTTGTTGCTTAATATGAAGCTGAATCATACAAAATTCTCAATGAATCCATCGCATCTTTCTCTCATCATCAATTTTACAGCAGAAAAAAGCTGAATTTGAACACTTTTCATGATAAAAATATGTCGGAAAACATTAGACAATTTGTACTAATAAGCCGGCGCCGATTTCAACTCTGCGATATCCCTAGCAGCTATGTTCCATATGAATATCGTGACTGAGAAAGCTCAAGGCATTTTGTAAATAACCATCTGTTGATCAACAGACAATATAACAATCAACTAAAAACAGAATATTGTACTAGAATCAAAATGACTTACGAGTTCCTGGTTCATTCATTCTTGTTTCCACATTTAAAATATCTTGTATTTGAATAATAGCTGCATTAGAAGCTGATTGCATGACCAATTGTATTAAATACCAACAAACATATTTATCAACATGTTTTTCCAATGTCATACCATTAATTAATTCATTTTGATCTTCAATAGGACGACGAATATAATCGATAAATTGACGTTTTTCTTTTGATGATGCTTCCTTTGTCCACCATTGCAATGTTGTCGGATAATCATGTGAACCTGTTCAAAAAAAAAATCTCCAGAAAATGTCCCAATTTCAGAAGCTCACAAGAACGAATTCTGATTGATGGATTTATTTTGGACAATATTTTTAACAAAGATCATGTTCATAGAGAAATATTGATAACTAAGATTCAGATTTCAATACATGCAATCGAAACTTCGAAATGCAGACATGTGATATAAGATCTGCTGACATACAATGAATAGTATATCTATATATGATTTATTCCTGAAGAAAACAATCGGTTTTCGAGTATTCAGATTTTCAAACTTGGAAAAATCTCATGAATCGAAATTCCTTTCGTCATATTGTTTTTTGCGAGTCTACGAAAATCGATCGATACGAAAGATAGTCGAGAAATTTATAATAAAAAGGAAAAAAAGAATTCTTTGACGAAATCGACAGCAGTGTGGAAAATAAAAAATATTAGTTTATAAACTATCTCTAATACTTAAAATTTTTTGAGTTAGTACCATATACAAGTAAAGTTGATGCCGAGTGTTCTCGAGAACAATTGATTTAAAGAGGGAGAAAAAGTAAAAATAAAAAATGGGTACGGGTATTGGAATGAGTCTTCTTGAACTCTATCACACACTCACATTCGCATTCTCGAAATGTTTTTTTTTCTTGTTTTCACATTTATAACAGAATTATTCTGATATAATTTCATGAAAATTCATGAATCTGACAATTTTAATTGTGAAAAGAAATTCTATTTCATATGCTGTATGAATCAGAAAAACATATAGTTCGCTGTAGTGATCTACATTTTTGTAATGGCGTCTTCCGTCTTCTGTTGTAATGCTTTAATTTATTCATCTTAGCTGAAGCCTTTGTTTTTTTTTATTATAAATTTCTCGGCTACTTTTCGTTCAATCAATTTCCGCTTTCTCACTTTTTTGCATGACTAATAAAATACCATCTTAAAGAGATCATTTAGTGTTTTAGATCGGGCCACTTTTCGGAGATTTTTCTATGTTCGATAAATGGCTTATTATGTATGCCTGATGATAAAGAAAGTGACTGACGAGGAAACGTTCTCAAGTGTTCATTCACTTTTGAGTCGAGACTATGTACATCATGTAGACCCTATGCATACGCTGAAAAGAGTTCGTCCCGGAAGTTTTCTCTTGGCGAGATATCAAAGTTTTACTATATTTTTTAACGAACTGCCGTAGTACTTCTCAGGTTCACTGGAAAATTAACTTTCGAATCTCGTCTTGAAACTTTGCACAGATAAAGGTCTGAATGAGATTAATTTATTGTGATAGTTTTAGACTTTTTGGTTGCTCCTATTCTGAGATACGAGTGTTACAAAAACATGATGTTTTTCACATTACTACTATCGTTGGCAGATTTTTTTCAATGTCTCCATTTCACCATAAGAGCAATCAAAAACTCTAAAACTTTGACAACAAATTAGTCTCATTTTGATCTTCCCAGGTCAAAAAAAAATCAGACATCAGGTCTTGCACAATCAGGTGAAATCATACAAAAAATCGTAGTCTCAGAAATCTTACATTAAATCGTACTATAAGATTCTTATAAGAACTTAGCGTGATATAAGTTTTTCTATAATCTTACAACAATATCTTACAGAACAGCAAGATCTGTCAAGAATCTTAAGGTATAACTTGACGTAAGAATTCTGAGACCACGATTTTCGTCTGATCTGACAAGATCAGACGTACGACCATGTAAGATCTTACTGTCTGCTTGTTTGATTTGGGTTTGTCTGTACAAAGTTTCAAGACGAAATTCGAAAGTTGATTGTCTGGTGAACCTGAGGAGGACTATGGTATTTCGTTAAAAAATCCCGTAAAACTTTGATATCTCTCCAAGAACAAGCTATGGAGATGAACTCTTTTCAGCGTATACATAGTTTATTAGGGTCTACATGATGTACATAGCCCCGACGAAAAAGTGAATGAACACCTGGGAACATTCCATTGTAAGTTACTTCGCATCGAGTGCACGTCAGCTTTTAGTATAGTAAGATATCTTTGAATTTTGCCTCAAACAAAGTTTTAAGACTTCTTCAAACATCTGCAAAGTTCAAACTAGTTTTTTCATAATCATACAGTTTTCTTTTTCTCTATGGTTTTCTTGGTGTTTATTGAAATGCTTGAAACAAATTGCTAGAAGGAAATTATTGAATGTAGCTCGTAGAACTACATCGAAAGCGTGTGAGACCAAAATCTATGTTATGTGGATCTGAAATAAATCATCAAATTTTACCTGTATATGCAACTGAACGTGGTATAAAATTATGTGGTGCATACATATTATCTGCATCGTAGTGGAAGCCCTTTTGCGCAATACGTACACCATGTAATTTAAAACGATCACGTAATTCCAATACTTCAGGTGTCAAAGCACCTATATCTTCAACGATCAATGGAACATCGGCGCCGAGAGCACGAGTTATAGCCGTAAGAAATTCATCACCACTAGAATTAAAGAAGAAGAGAGAGAGAGAAATCAATTTCACTTTCATTTTGTGCTTCTGTCTAAACTGTTTTTTTTTTATTCAATATAAAACAATTTGAGTAAGCAAAAAAAAGAACCAGTATTATGTTCTGTGATTATATGTTTAGCAGACAATCTGGACAACGAATTCCATAGCTCGACAATCAAATTAATAGAATCGAAAATTAAATATGATTGGTCTAATAAACTATTTAGATCATACCAAAAGAAGTGGTGGCGAGACTCTAATACTTAATAGAAAGCTCGAGGAAATTTTCTCTCTATGTATACTGACAGCCCAAATGGTGCTTTATAATTCTATAGTATTTCATTATTCTATACTTGATATCATAAAATCAAAATTTCGATGCAAGCTATTCATCTTTGTTTTAGATGGATAATGAAAATTTTTGCTTTTGTGTGTAGATGAGAGTGAAGGGAAGGACTACATCCACATTCTTACCGTCATCCTCACCTTTAGCCTACCTTCGATGTAACGTCGAGGATGTCGATGTAGCCCTTTTGGTCATTCGGATCTACACTCAAAAGCGAAACTTTTCATTAGCCATCTAGAACAAAGATGAATAGCTTGCATCGAAATTTTAATATTATGATATCAAGTGTAGAATAATGGAATATTGTAGAATTATTAAGCATTGTTTGGGCTATCAGTATACATAGAGAGAAAATTTTCTTGAGCTGTCTATTAGGTATTAGAGTTCTGCTGCCACTACTTTTGGAATGACCTAAGTAAATAAGAAGACAATAATTGACTCTACATGGTCAACAAGATAAAAATGAGATTTCTAGCATTCAATTATTTATCGATTGCTGAGAAAATCTATCCAACAAAAAGATCTGAACGGATAGGATCTTTCTCTTCAATTCTTTGAACATTGTATTTGTAGAAAATATCACAATCATCGTCTAAATGAATGTTTTTGGTTGAATCATCTTCATGATAAGTCAGTTGATACTCCAAAGAAAAAGGTTTAGGACAGCAGTTAGTCGAACAATTACTGACTAGTTAAATTTGCTACGGCAATGATTAAAAGTCACTTACGAGGTGGCCCTCGGGTGGTACCTCCAGTTTTGATTCATTTAGAACTCATTCGATCGAGTATATTGAGATAGTAAAATGTCTAAAGAGATTTTATCTCATGGGTCTTCTTTCAAAAGTTAGCGGCATTTTTCTATTTACTTCTTCTATAATCCAAAAAGTTGAAAAACTCATAGATCATAAGTAAACCTTACTAACTGATATCCTCTGTTTGAGCTCTTATTTTGCTTATAGATAAGGCTCATAGTGCAGATAAAAATCGTAGAAAGATTCGTTCTATTGTCGCTTTGTTGCGGAGAAATAAGCGTAACATGCTTTTTTTGTAGAAAGAATACTGCAATATTTCCAGTAATTTTGGTTATTTTCATATTTCAGTAAAGAAACCATAGACCGAAATCGAGTCGAATTTGATTCGAAGGACTCGAATTTTGGAAAGTCTTCGATAAATCTTCGAGAAGTTTCTCGTTAGAGGCTTTCTTAATCCTATAGTTGGTCGATATGACACAAGGTTCATTCATCGCAAGTCAATTAGTCTCTGTCACTGCATTACACATATTCGTGCTATGAATAGATCTTCATGAGTTGAATATTTTTTCCAAAATCATCTCATATATCATTACTTTCTGGAAAAAAAAACAATGAGCCACATCTGGAGTTATCGATCGATGAATAAAGAGTTTCGCATCTGTCTTGCTTTGTGTACGGTTAGCAGGAATGATAATGAAAAATGCTCATTGCTTTTATTGAAAAAGAGAATAAAAATGAAAGGTATACAGATTTGTAGAACATGCACTTATATATAGCTCATATTTTTTGCATCGAGTAATGAAATATGAGATGATTTTAGCAAAAAAATACTCAACTCATGAAGATGTCTCCTGGAAATACCGTACTATTCCAGGCCGATCATTTCAGTGACTAGATCCGTTCAAAATTAGGTAGGTTCCGACACAGTTTTCATCAATTCCTGTCGGTTCCATTAAGTACAAGTAATTTTCTTGCAATCGAATTCCGATCGAAAGTTGAACAGAGATTTCCAATAACTTCCTTACCGTTTTCGGCTGGAACGGAATCCGATGGCAAAGAAATTGGTGGAATACAAAAGAAACTGGCCGATTCTAACCGGACACAAATGACCTGGGATTGTTTCTACAAAAACATGTTACACTTATTTTTTCGCAACAAAGCGACAATAGAACGAATCTTTCTACGATTTTTATCTGCACTATGAGCCTTACTTATGAGCAAAAAATAAGAGCTCAAACAGAGGATATCAATTGATAAGGTTTACTTATGAACTATGAGTTTTTCAACTTTTTTGGGCTATAGAAGAAGTAAATAGAAAAATGCCGCTAACTTTTGAAAGAAGATCCGTGAGAGGAAATCTCTTTAGGCTTTTTACTATCTCAATATACTCGATCGAATGAGATATAAATGAGTCAAAACTGGCAGACTACCCCGGGATTACCTTGTTAGCGTTCTCTTTTCATGGAAGTTATTTAACATAATTCATATGTTGAAATTTCCATTGGAATTTTCTTTTTTTCAGAAGAGATTTTTGCGCGAATCATCATTCTAACGTATAGTCAGCTAAGAAATGTGACTTTCATTTTTTTCAAATATTCTCTGACTACGTAGATAAATACAAAATTCTACATCTCTTTCTCATTGATCCACATTCTACAGAGCAAAATCGTTGTCCCCTAGACTGAAAGGCTAGGGTCTAGAAACCTAAATTCACCTGTATCTGTCTGTCTGTCGGTAACATGGCACAAATGACCTTTTTTTTTGGTACAAATGACCATTTTTTGGCACAAATGACTATTTTTTTTTTTGAGACAACGACCACGTAACTACGGCATTAGTGACCATTTCGGTAAATATGGTACAAAAGACCATATAGCACCCATATTACAAATCAGCATATGACGTATAATAAAATTTTGACAAGTGAATCAGAACAAATACGTAATTTTATGACGTATGAAAACGATATTATTTTAAATGTGATTTTTTTGAGTATAAACAGCGCCAGTTTTATTAGCGCTTTTTTGTACTCAGAAGAATTTTGGTGTTAACTTTTTAATCTTAATCTTATAACTTTCTAACATATACAGGGTGGTCCAGAAGTTACCTACCATAAAGTATATCCTATAATAACTGATGATAAATTGTTAATGATACTTTTCATACATTTTATTGACGTAGAGAGCTGAAATGTTTATCATATATATATCTAATCAAGATCTTTATATATTGAAAGTATTAGCTCTCTACATCAATAAAATGTACGAAAAGTATCATTAACAATTAAATCATCAGTTATTACAGGATACACTTTATGGTAGGTAACTTCTGGGCCACCCTGTATGTGTCGTTATGGCGTCAGTCTAGGACCAGGTGAATCGACTGTCGATGAACCTTACTTGTTTGTTTACTACGTGAAATAGAGTCAAACTTCCTCCATTATATTTTTAATATCATCTAAAAGGTCTATCTTTATCTTTGAATATTCTTAAGTCTCGTTTTCTATTTTTATTCTAGGTAAGAGAATCAAATATCAGACATTTCAAAAGTATCCTTTTGAACTCTAAATTTCCAGTACTGTTTTAAGATAAAAATTTGTAATAGAATTTACGAAATTAGCATGAAGCACTTTCCATAGGAAAAATTATAGGAAGATTTATTTTGCAAATTTAAAATTGAATGAACAAAAACAAAAACAAAAAATCTTATTTTTCTTTCAATTTTTTTCTAATGAAATCAATCTTCTTATTTTATCCTAACTTACGGTGTTTTTATCCATCGTGCTTCTGAAATGTTTGGTTTTTGTGTTTTTGTATCTACTGGTATAGCATAATGCGATTCTAAACCACGAAAATGATCAATTCTCTGTATATCGACCATATTCAATGCATGGCGCAAACGTTCTATCCACCAATCAAATAAACGAGGTTTGACATTATCATCGTTCCAATTGTAAATGGGCATATTCCAAAGTTGCACTGGAAAACCATGATCAGGTGGAAAGCCTAGAACAAAAAATAAATAGATAAAAGAATTGAAACTTAAGCGAACAAAATTTTTCTCTCATTTCCACTTAAGTCAAACCTTCAATAATAATCTAACTACGGTCGAATTGAGAAGACAAAAACTTATCATATGTCTATGCAGAGAATATTATATGCCAAATACTCTTGTCAAAATTCTTCTTTTTCAAACAAACGTCCTATTATCATCTTTGAACTTCGATAACTTATGACGATCGAACGTTTGAAATATTTTCCTCAGATTTGGAACTGTCGCAGAATATATAGAAAAAAAAAAGAATCACAATATTTTTCGCCCATGTATAGATCTAATGATACCTATCATGTCCTAAAAATTTCAGTTTGAACGGATGCGCCTTTCAGGAGATATTATATTCGCAAACAAGCACGATTATTGCATATTTTGCGTGAAGATCGTGTCCTTTTTGAAAATACCATATCTTCGGAAAGGCACATCCATTCATGCTGGAATTTTCAGGACATGGTAGGTATCATTAGAACTATGTGTGAGCGAAAAATATCGCGATTCGGTTTTTTTTTTCTATATATTCTGCGACAGTTCGAAATCTCAGAAAAATGAGTTTAACTCGGCAAGAAATAACCAGCAGTACAAATGCTTTTAGGATTTTTCTAGTCTCGCTGAGATCTACTCGTGGGCAAAGTATCAGCTCAAAACTTGATGATCATCTGAATATGTTTTCCTCGTTAGTGAAGAATGAGGAAAATGTCCCTTTTCTGGATGACATAAAAATAATCGACGTCGATAGTGTAGTTGCTCTCATTTTGTCAGAAACTAGTTGACAGCAAGTTTATCAAGATAATTTGATAAGTTTTGTATGGCATTTCATTTGTAGTCTCCTTTCTGGAGCAAATAAATTGAATGAACTCTATTTTTTTATAAATCCAGGAAAAAATATCGTGCTAATTTTCTCTCACAGCCTTATTTCATAAGAAGTGGTTTGCACATTACTTATTCTTCAATTCTTGGCTTATTGTATGCGAACCATAAAATAACTCTTACAAAAAGTCATTACTTATCTTCTTTGACATACCTGCCGTAACTGTTTGTTGCATAGTATTTTTATCCAATTGAAAAAAGTCTGTATGTGCCCAAACATCAACTGAATCATAATCGATGTAGATAGGCATATCACCCACTATTTTAACATGTCGATCATTGGCATATTTCTTCAATTCAAACCATTGTTGATAAAAGACATATTGAACAAAAATATGATATTGAATTCGATCTTTTTGCTCTTGACGAATTTGATCTAAGGCCGAAGATTGATGACGACGTAAAGAATCAGGCCAATCTGCCCATGTGCCATTTTCATACTAGATTCGAATAAATAATATAGATCTTTTATTGAGTTTGGCACCAAAATAGAAAACTTTTTCGGATTCGAGTCCAACAATTGTTGAATCCGATGGGCTCTAGCACTCATATAGCCGAATGGAATTTGTTTGAACCTCTAATTTCATTTCTTGTAAAAATAAACGGTCAGATTCGGATTCCCGAATTCTGTTCGAACAAAAAACAAGTGCATCCTTGTATCAGTTTTATTTTCAAACTACTTTGTGTACTGCACATAAATACATCGAATTACACTTGCGAGTAGTTAAAAGTAACACTCAATTAAATCACTGTGAGAGAAAGAGAGAATATCTGAGACTTACCTGTTCTTTTATTGTCAGAAATAAGGTAAAATCATCAATCCAATAACGTTGTTGTTCGAAAAAATTCTTCAATTTATTTTCTGCTTCTTTATCATTCATCTTGAAATGTTCATAGGCTTTTCCTAATAATTCTTCTTTCAAATTTCGTACAGCTTTATAAGCAACATAATCATCGTGAAATTTCGATAGATCGATCATTTTCAGATCATTTTTTGATAAGAAATTGTTCTCAACTAATTTCTCAGGCGAAATCAACCACCAATGACCACCGAATGCTGACATACCTGAAAAATAAAATAAAATTATTTTTAAAATCAATATTAAGAAAAAAAAACAGACGGTGTCTATCCGTTGCTACGAATATGTTCTCAGCATAAATAAAATTCTTGGTCTTTCAATGAAAATAAAAACAAATCTCTAATAATTGTGATGACTAATTTTACTCAAACGGAGTAACAGAATTGAAAGAGTGCGTATTCTCGTGCAAACGTTAGAAGCATGAATGATATCTGGTCAAATCCAGGCCGGTTTTACGCTAATATGGTGCTAACTTCATCGACGTAATTTTTTTTTTCGTTGCACACCGAAATAAATATTTTTTTCGTGTATTGAATAACATTTCAATTTTAACGCAATTCCATTTTTTGCCTGTCTTACTCCGCTTAGAACGATGACTATGAGAATAATTATTACTCGAAATACATTTGCAATCGAACTACTGTTATCATCCGATTTGAAGCACAAATCGAATAAATGTTAGGCGGTATTTTAGCAAAAAAAGAAAATACTAGCCTATCTATTTATGCTAACCTGAATATGGGGATGGAAACTTTGTTGGTGTGATGGGTAAAATTTGCCAAATTTTTTGTCGTGTTTCCACCAAGAAATCAATAAATTTGTAGGCTTCTGGGCCCAAATCACCAATACCATATGAAGATGGTAACGACGATATGTGGACTAATATACCGGATGATCGTTCGATTTCCATTTTTATTTTTTTTGTTAATCAGAATAATGTGACGATGTCAATCACAATGTTTATCGAAATAACAATAGATACGTTGTGTAAATGAGATAGAATTCTAGAATAGAATATCTTTCTTTTTTTTCTAGAGAAATTAAAGTTTTAGCTACAATCTTGCCAAATGAATAGAAAAACAAATCAACAATGTCATTCTGTGTAATGTTACAATATTGCTCACATGAACTTTCACCTCGTCGATGGTATATTCGCTCGGAACGACACTTAATTAGTCGCATATACTCTCGACACGGAGTGAAGAAGAAAATACACAGCAACAACTGTTCATATATCGACAGTCACGAAGAGAAAAAGAAAAGATAAATCGTGCAGAGTATCGGTTAATGCAAGAGAGAGAAGCCAGAACAAATATTGAGAAGAAGAGGACAAGATGGAGAGAATAGAGAGTGCATACTCTAACACCTTCTGTTGTCATCTGCAATAATGATAATAATAAAAAAAAAATTTTTGAAATTGAAAACAAAAAGCAAATTTTTGCAATATATCTGTTTACTCATACCATGTGTATTTTTTCAAATTTCTTTTCAAATAGAATTTTTCGTTCTTCAATATTTACTTTAGTCTATTTGACAATTCATCAACCAATTTGATCATTGTAGATATTGTCGTTGGATATATATATATAGGTAGATGGATATTGAGTAGTCAGATAGTTTTTGATCAATTTTGGAATCAATAGCCATATGCTTCGATTGTCTTCCATCACATTACGTAGAATTATGATCGATCGTGTTTACGAGATGCAACTAATTTAAAATAAAATTAATCCATCCAGGATCATCTTACATGCGAATTTCACTGTAATTACAACGAGAGGTTGTTCATTTTTTTTTGCCTATCTATTACGTTCTAAATGATGTGTGTATCTGTTAAAAATAATGCAATCGTGATTTTTTGTGAGAGAAATAAACAACTGTTCTTTTACTTTTTCGTTATATTCTGCTCAAGTCACAGAGTACAAAACGTTTCTCGGGCATAATCTAACGATTGCGACAGGAACGAAAGAAGAAATATTTTTTCTATGGAAGAGAACAAAATTGCACTCATAGATCTTTTCTATGATGTTCCTTTAATGCATCTGCGTATTCCACAGAAACACACAGAAAAGTTATGTTTTCTCAACTGACATAATGTCTTCTCGTTTAAGTGCATGAACAAGTGCTTAGAAAGATTTTATGATCAATAGAACAATACGACGATGACACTTATGTAAAAAAACTAAACAGAGATGGATTAATGCTGTCTTTTAGTGAAATGAATGGCTTCCAAGGACGAACAATCCAAGAGTCGAATTCTGACAATTTTCGACGAAAAGAAACCGTCGAAAATCATCGAATTCGGTTGGAACCATCATTCAATAATTCACAGACATCCTCATCTATCACGTGCCCTTTGTTCAGTAATCAAAGATATCTCGATACCCTACTCCATAGTTGTTTCTGCTCTATCAAATGGACCTAATCTGGTGCTAAAAACGAACCATCCTTCAAAATCTCCAAAACAAGCACCAAAAACGAAGAAAATCATATGAAACTAAAAAATATCTTCTGTCCTATGTTCTCATTAAAGACATTGCCAAGTTAATCATAGACTAATTGAACTTGATATCATATGATGAATAGATGACCTAAAAAGAGAAAAATTCAGTTGAGATAAAAAGAAGAGAATTATTTACCTATCTTGAAATCGAGATATTGTTGAGATCATCGATTGTTGATATCGTCAATTGAACAGACGATCCAAAAAAAGAATAACTCAGTTACGAGAAAAAATAAACAATGATAAGAGAATGCACAAACAACCACAATCACTGCCACAACGCGACGTGCTACATGTACTTTAGTAAAATTTCTCAAATATGCGTTAATTGAGGAGAGTGAATAGCAATCAAAACAAACTATGGTGAAGCTTCGACGATATACCATAGAAGTGGACTGAAGTAGATAGAACCGTAGCTTGCAAAAGGTTAGTATGGACGTGCTGGAGAATCCACATGATCGAGTGAGTACAATGACGAGGAGTGTGGGTGTAGGAGAAGAGAAGAGTTTATATCACATTTACACCCACACTGTCGGAAAAAACGACCCATAAAAGACGTGAAGTCTGAAAAAAGACTTTTGATGGAAAATCTTTGAAAGAGACCCTTCCCATAATATTCTTGTGAAAAACTTTCTAGTTGAAAAACTAGAAAATCATACATTGTTCTATGTAATTTTGTGAAATATGATTGAAACTGCGTCTTGAAGTTTTTTAGCGAGAAAGGAAGTGGTGCATTTTCCATCGGTCATTCCCCCGCCCCCCCCCCCCCCCCCCCCCCCCGCTAGTTTTTTTTTCTTCCACATATCTTTTAGTTGAGACTCATGCGAGGATATGAAATCAATCAATCAAATCTTGGACATTTCTTGTTTTAGTGAAAAAACTAATGCTCAAGAGTTAGGATTATTTTCAAAAATTACCGACGCCATTCTTATAGTGTAATTCATATCTCCTCTATAGTTGCATCAATCATCACCAAATTTTTACTACATACATGGGTGATGTCTATCTACGAAATAAGATTGAAATCATCTTAATTAATTACTTTACTAATGAGGGCCAGTTATAGCAAATTTTATTTAAAAAAACTGCTATTTTGCAGTGCATGACCAAGATTGTTTTTCTTGTAGTTTTGAAACGGTTTCTATTTGGACAGTGAAATTTTTACCAATAATACAGCTTCACATAATCTATCAGATGAGTACGAAAATTCAAAGGAAAACTAATGCTTATGTATGCACAACGACTTAACGTTTCGAAAGAATACAGCAGCGATTTAAATAGAATATAGGAAGCTTTTAAGATTGCACCTATTTCTACTCTTTCAGCAGTTTAGGTGTTTTTAAAATGGTTTGATTTATTAATATATATCTAAGTGCTTAATTCTGAAACATCTATCTGATTGAATTGTACGATGAATATGTGATTTTCAGATGCTTAAGGGTACATATTTTCCAACATTGCTAAGATTTTCACATTTCCTTTGAAATCGTTTGTATAATAAGAATTACCGGACGTAGGAAGATAGTTCTGTGCTCCATATTCTTTCTGAAAAATCGTAACACGTCCAGCAATATCTTATAAAAGTCTTCTTGCTATTTCCAGTCTGTCCTTCATGGCATTACTGAATTATGCTATGATATTTATTTTGAAATTATTTCAAGTGTTCACATATTACTATAAAACAAAGAGAAGCAGATTATTTCTCGTTATCACGCTGAACAAACCAACAGATTTTTATTTTCTTTTATGTTTTCGAAGAGCTATTTTAATAAAATTATGATAATTTCCAAATAATAATTCACCAGACTACAAGACGAAAAAAAAGAACCATTTTTTCATCATTTCTCATTATCATCTTGGCAATATGAACACTTCCACTTATCAATATTTACTTAAATTTTTTCTTGATTTTGACCAATACAACTAACACGGTATAATTCATGACAAGGACAATATTTTCCAGTCCAATCTCTTTGATAAGATTCATTACGAATAAAGTATGTAGGGTGTGGGTGTGAGTGGGGTGGGTGTGAGTGGGGTGGGTGTGGGTGTGGGTGTGGGTGCGTGTGGGTGTGCGGTGGATGTGGGTGTGGGTGTGGATGTGGAGGTGGGTGCTGGTCTTGGTCTTGCTCTAAACCACACCCACACCCATACCTACACCCACACCCCACACCCATGCATACCCACACACACCCACACCCTATTATTAATTCCAATATAGTATAAAAGTGAATGCTTTCTAGGTATCAAAAGGTCCTCAAGTAATTTCATTTTATTCGATGCTTCAATTTGATTAATGACAAACATCAACAACACCAGACTGGCATAAATGAAAATGCAAATACTACAAAGATTTTTTTAATTTAAAATCTTTATTCTTCTAATGTTTTTTTAGATAAATGACAGATTTGGGTACATCAGCAGCTAAAGAAGCAAAAGAATATTTTTCTAATATGGATCGTCATCGTATTATATTTAAATATGAATCAATAAAAGATGATTTTCCTATACAAATAGCATTGAATTGTGCATTAAATGATGATCAACAAGATGGGATTAAATGACATACAGAAGATATTAATCCAATATGTGAACAGAATTTAATTTACTAGTTGATTATTTATATACAAAAAAAGAAAGATCGAAAACAAATAAATTTTAATGATCTTATTAATGAAGAACTTATTCTTTTTTCAAAATCAAGTAGTGAATGTGCAATGCCAAGTATTATGGTAAATAAATTAATAATAAAATATTCCTTTTTTTCTCAAATAATTACTTTTAAAGGATGATCTTAAACCCGATCAATGTAAAATAATGTTTGTTTGTCTTACAAAACATTTAATACGTGAAATAAAAGTTGCACAAATTAGCTGGTAAAGTTGCGGAAGATTTTGCTTATCATCATGATAAACAATCATTAACATAAATACAATTGTTGATCTCGCACAAAATTTTGTTGATTCAGATAATATTAATTCTCTTGTACCAGATGATGATTAATTAGGTACATGTTTACATGATGGTGGTGGTGGTGGTGATGCAGCTTCAGCACATTATATATGTACTCAACTGAAGTAAGAATAAAACAAAAATAGATTTTTATATGGAGAATTTACTTGGATTTTTTTAGTCCTCTTACTTTGTCATTATTTAATATAAACAATGAAGCATTATTGACATTTTTAAATGATGAAGATTGAATGAATATTGAATCTGAATGATATTGTCCAGTTATTCCAAGTGTTCTTCTTATTGATGCACATGATATTGAGATTAGTTATTCAACTGATATTCCATCTTATAATCCATTAACATTAAGTAATAATAATATGAAATATTATATTAAACAAGAATGTGAACAACAACATCAATTAAATAATCCAATAAGTCAACCAAAACAATATCCAGATAGTGTTAGATTAGAAGAATTAATTCTATGATATAGAAATTTTATTGACGAAATAAAATTATTAGATTATGATGATATACGTGCTCTTATTAATGATGTTTGTACTAAACTTGATGGAACATCTGTTGAAATAACTAATTTACTAATTAGTAACCCCCTCCCCCTCCCCTTCCCCATATTAGAAGCCTCCCGGGGCTTCTAATATGTCAACCATCTGAAGTTTTCGGAGGGGGCTTCTATTAAGTTCCAAAAAAATTCTATAGATTGTGACAGCAAAAACGGTTTGAAAGGTTTTTATGAGTTTTCCAGAAGATTTTTGACGGTATTTCCAGATGTTAGCACAGCTGGATACGAGTCAGCCAATTTTTTACCTTAAAATAGAAAAATTTTAGCAGTTTTAGGACGAAAATTCGAAAAAAGATCTCGAAAATTTTAAAATTTTTTTGGAAAAATCATGGAAGCTTCTAATACGTCAAACATGTTGCTTATCTCAGACTCAGAGGAGGCTTCTATTATGAGGGAGGAGAGGGTTTACTTGAACACAACAATATTAAAAAAATGTTCTTGAAAGAATTCTTTATCCAAAACAAAATGATATTGCACAAACAATTCTTGATTATAAAAGTAAATTATTAATTTTATTCGACAATTAAACAAATAATTTTTTTTCTAATTAAAATATCATACTGATACAACAGTTCGGGTTGTTGTTCAATTATCATTAGCAGCACAATTCGCTAAATTTAATCAATCTGATCTTTATAAAATTTTTCATTTACAACAAACATTTAAATTAACAAATGTGGTTCTTTTTGATCATAATGCTGTAAACAAAAAAAGAAAATCTTTGGAAGATTTATATGAAGATGATCTTCATCATTTTGAAGCTGAATAGCGTAAAGTAAAATGTTTTTTCTTTATTGCAGTGATATCTGAGCAGATCCTAGACTAGAGTTTGATTTGATGATGGAAAACTTTATGGTAGAATTTCCATGTAATCGCATGATTTAAAGAACTAACTACGTTACCTTCACTAAAGTAAGATTTTTTTTCTATAGATATCTAAACTATGATATTTAGGCTATTGAAAAAGAACGAGCTGATGAAATCTCTGAAGTGACTCATTATACAATCAAAAAAGCTGCTGGTGATAATAAAAGTCATGAAAAATAAACAACTAAACCAGAATGTGTTGAAACAAAACCTGTTCCAAATGATCAATATATTACACCAATTACTTGATCCAGCAAATGAAGAACTTATTAAACATAATCTAATTTGTTTTAAATTCTTCTTGTTTTTATTAATTAGAAAAAATATTTGTTTAAAATTATTGATGATAAAAGAACAATTATTGAATACCTTCTTACAAAAGGTATTACATCAGAAGAAATATCTGAAATAATATAGATATCTTGTCAAAATAAGAACAGAATTGATAATACATACTGAATAAATCATCAATATAATTGTTCAGTATGTTAAATAAATAATATTTATTTCTTTTGTAGATATATCATGTCGACTGTACCTTTTCTGTCTTCGTTGATTTTTTTGTACAAGAATGAATTGAATAGTATTTTGGATTATTGTATCCTATGGGCGCATTACTACTGGATAAAGAAGGGCTATGTTATTGCAAGTAAAACAGAAGGAGAGATAGGAAATTTTTTTTGACATATGGTTTTGATTATTTAATTTTAAGGAGGAAATAATATCTTTTGGAAAAGATGCATCTGGTGTTATACCGACTAAATATCAAAAGGGAAATCTTAGTATTATTGTTGGACATAGTTTTGATGGTCATTCCTATTGTACAAGTTTTAACGTAAAATAAGTTATTATTAAAAAACAAAAATCGGTATCGTTTTTTAGATCAATAATAGTGAAGAAGATCGATATGACATACCAATGTCGAATTTTATCGTCGATCGGTAAATATGAAAAATGTTGTTTTCTTATATTTATTTTTTTGTACAAATATTTTCTAGAAAATTGGTCAATCCACAAGGTTTCATGAAGACATTGTCGAGGAAAATAAATAAGACTGTTCGTAAATACAGACTTGCGCAAAAGAACAACAAATCGCCTTGACCACCACCATCACCATCACATGCATAAATTTTAATTATGTGTCAAACCATCTATTTCTCTTATGTTTTATCTTGTTGTCTTTTTTTTTCAAACAAGAACGATGAAGAAATAAGAGATTCACACATACATGAATTTTTTTGATTACCTGATTAAACAAATATACATATTTGAATAAAAGAACAAGAACATTTGATCGAAATCGACATCATCTGAAATATGATAAGTCTTTTTAAGAGCACTTTCACGTTGTGTACGAGTCTAATGAATAACAAAATTCATTTTTGCCAGACTATATTTATAAGAGAATTTGATTTTTTTATTTTCTTTATCCGTTGATCAAGAATTTTTCTTTCATACATTTCCACATTCATGTTGATTCAGTTTTGAATCTCTCATAGAAGACAAATATTATTATTCAGTGACGATGCATCAGCACTACAAGGGAAAGCAATTGTTTCCCCTAGTTTTACACACTTCTGAGTATAAAAAAATAAAATTACTGTAAACATAACCCAACAGACATGTTTAATATGACTTTGCAGTCGTAGCAGCAAGATTGTCCCATAGTCTCATGAATTTATTTCTTGCCATATATGTCTGACATATGACTATTCAAGGACTTAGAGTATATCAAAAGTAGTGGCGTCATTATCTGATTTTCTTATAGAACGCTAGAAGAGATTTTCTTTTTTTTTATGTAGTGATCTAGAAAACGATGCTCTATCTTTCTGTGCTATTTGATCATTCTTCAACTAATGTCATAATAATAAAATTTTCATAAAGCTCGATTAGCTATGAATTCAAATCAAAATATAAAAATAAATGAATAAATCTCATTGTAGTTACATGATGGCAATTAATCTGTCACTTTTTTAATAGCATTTCTAGTTTGTTGAATAATTTTTTCTTCTTGATCTTCATTTATTTATTTTTTTCGATATATTTTTCATAGTTGTATTGAATTGTTTTTCAACATTTGATGTCGCTAAAATATTTTACATCTATTAAAATGAACTTTCTCATTTTCACTTATCTTTTTCATCAATTGAATCTTTTGACATAATTAAATCCTTGTTGACCAGAAGTGGATTGGAGTATCATTTTGAAAAGTTTTGTTTTGTTTTTTTTTTTATTTATTTCTTATTCAATGCTTCTATCTAAGTGCATTTTAAGGTCACCATTGCACAATCACATAAAAAGACATCTGAATGCCATATGCTCTATGTTACAGGTAAAGGTAATAATGTCGATTTCTTTATTTACTCTTCTATTAGTTACTCAATTCTACTACAAAAGGTGTGATATTAGTATATATCAAGAATTGTAATTACTTTTGACTAGTGTTGATTTTTGAACATAGACAAATGATATATATATATTAATTATTTTTTATTTCATTTTTTTATACAATCTTCTTTCAATATCTTTGACAATTTTTTGTCAATTTCTTCAAATGATTCTTCTGTTATATTAGCAACAACAATTTTCTTATAATGAAATCGTTCAAAAACTTCCTTTTTTTTTGCTTTGACATGAGATTGCCAAACATGTCCTTCAAAATAACCTTGTGGTTCTGGTAGATCATAATATCTTCTCAATCGTCTTCGAAGAGATTCTTCATATGGTAAATCAAAATAATTAGATCTCTCAGCTTTCTCTTTATTCTCGATTCTAAAAGATGTGTTTCAAGTTGTATGGTACCAAATAACGCGACTTTGAGCTGTTAATCTGAATTTTTTCTGTAAAATAACTATCTTTTTTTACTATGTTTTTTTATTAATTCAGGATTATCATGTATGAGTCTTCTTGTACATACACAGATGCGAGTCTTTCCAATCCATTCTAAAATAAACTTTGTCTCTATTTTAATACATTTATTTTACATAAGCATTCATAATAATCAATATTTATACATGTGGAAAATAGTCTTTTGCATATTTAGGAAGTCGACGACCATTGAGATTTAAAGAATTTAGTTTTGCACAATTGATTCGTGTTGTGTCTCTTGTAAAATTATGTGTCACTCTTTTTAATTGTTTATAATAAATGTTAAGATGAACAACATTATTCGGTAAACATATTTTCGTATCAACTAGAAATTCTTCGATATAATCGTCGTGAGCATCGTAAAGTGTAAGAATAGTAAGATAAGGATAGTTAATGATTGAAAAATCTTGATTGTCATTCTGTGATTCTCTGCATAATTTATTATTTTGTGGTTTGAAATTATTTAAAGAAAGTTTTTTCATAAATGGAAATGATTTTTGAATTCGAAGAAAAAATTCATGTTCAAAAGGATGTTCATCATGTAATGATATTGTACGAACACATGTAAATAAGCCACCTGGAAAATTATTTGTTACAGTATAATAATATTTTAATTGTTCAGGATACAAATAGATATGACATAGACCATATTGTTGGAAATAATCAACATAAGAAATAACTTGATCATCTTTAAAATCTCTGAATGTATGTTGAATATCTTCTTTCGATTGTAGATGCATTTGATTATGAAGAGAAATACCTGAGCAAATATAAAATTCGAATTTCTGTAATCGTGCCATATGATTAATAATATTCTGCTTCAATTCAATTCCATCAACAAATGTATTTTTGGCACAAACAACAAGATTCAAACAGAGTTTTTCTAAATTCGACATTCGTTGTAGAAATGGTACAATTATTTCATCATAATAATGTGTCGACATTTCACAACATAGCGAAAAACATCTTAAATTAGATAGTTTTTCCTATAAAAGAAACCATATAATGTATTTGTTCAAAAAACTTAAATATTAGCTGAAATAATCTACTACCTGATTATTGTTTGTTAAATGTGAAGAGGAAATGGAATCAATATCAACATACAGCGTGTGAAGTTTATTGAAACGTCCATCAAGTATAAAAAAACACTCGGTGAAAGATGCCAAACTAATATGCAATTCTAAGAGAGTTGAAGAGGTCATAGTTGGAAATGGATTGTTAAATAATAATCGTTGATACCAAATTGAAGATGGACAAAAATTTAAATATTGCAAATTGGAGAACATATTAAAGATATGTGTCAATATATATGCAATCACATCTCTTGTTAAATTTTCTTTTTTATATTTAGTAACATCGATGATAAGCGATGAGATTTGATTTTTATTTATAGAAGTTGAACAAGATTCGTCTAAATAAAAATACGACGTCAACAAAAAACATATTGAATTTTATCTTGATCATTATATCGATGTATTTATTCTTTTTTTTCCTTTTAACAATTCTATAATGTACATGTATAATCTTTTCTTTCAAATTCTTTAATAAATTATAACGTGTCATTTTAGTTATTTATTTTATTCTACAGTTTCGTCTTTCAGAATCAATATTGAAAATTTCAATTAAAGACACTAGAAAATTTTATTTAAATATTGTTTTAATTATAAATAATTCCTTGTATCATTTTTCTACTACTAATTTTTCTTAAGTTTATGTTTGCCAGTTTGTATCAGTAAAGTACAGAAATATTTTATAAGAAAAAAGACGCATAGTAATCTAACTCTATTTGTATAAATTATATATTCAAACTCATTTTGATTTTTGTATGTATTTTTCAATAGTTAATTATTAAAAGAATTGAAAAAAATATCTTACCAATAAAGAGAGATAGAGCTGTTTCTATCTCAATATTATATAAACCAAGTTCATATAAATTCGAATAATTTGCAGCATGAAGAATACGTTTCATAGATGATGATTCAACATTGAGCGATTTGATTTTATGACAAATTGAGGGTAAGATTTGTGAACAAAATCGATTAAGCATTAGATCAGGTAATGGATAGTTGGAATTATCCGAGAAACATCTCATCAATGTTAAGTGACTTGTAAAAATTGGATCACGTACAATTGTATTGAGTCGTTTATTAACATCTATTAATGAATAGAGTACTTCGGTATTGAATAATTTTTTCAAAATAATCATAAGAATTTCATCAGGTAAATTATTTAATTCTGTCGACATATGTTTCATATTTTTTTCACTTATTTATTCTTATCGTTGATAAATATGAGAGTATTTATATAGGTATGTTCATTTTATCGATTTGACCGATGTCGTCAATGAAAACAATACGACATATAACGTCTATAATCACAACTGACAACGAATGAATAAAATGAAAAATGACATTGTTTCTCTTTTTTTTCTTCTATATGCGAATGAACGCGGACATAGGGTGTGGGTATGGGTGGGTGTGGGTGTGGGTGGGTGGGGGTGTGGGTGTGAAATTGGGTGTGGTTTAGAGCAAGACGAAGACCAGCACCCACATCCACCCACACCCACACCTCACACCCACCCACCCACACACACCCTCCCACACCCACACCTCACACCCACCCACACCCACACACCCAAACCCACGCCCTCACCATCGACTTATAGATGAGGTCGATGGCGCCGGTGAAGATGATGTTATGGATTATCATGATGAGGATGACGTTACCGATTATGAGGATGATGAGGGGTATGGTACCGGTTATTATGATGATGATAATCATGATTATGACTATGATAATGATGATGAGGAGGAGGAGGAGGAGGAGGAGGAGGAGGACAATGAATATGATAATGATAATCAAATAGCTGATCCAAATTATCAACCTGATTCTGATGACTACGGCGAGGATTCTCGTGATGACGATGATGATCAAGATCGTTTTTCTTCGACTTCTGTCTCTACTATCGTGTTGGGGGACTCATCAGAGGGTAAGTATCGTAAATATTTTCCATTTATAAGTAAATATTGAGATTTTGTGGAGGCAGTAGCCAATCAAGTTCATCTTCTTCATCCGTCTATTTTATTCCAGGAATTCTTCGTAAGTGCTCAATGAGTTTAAATATTCGTTAACTCAAAAATCTCTTTTGTCTAGGATATCATCGATCAAATTCTAGTACAACGGGTAGCGTTTTATCACAACCCTCTACTTTTAATTCGACACTTTCATCAATTTCTGATGTATCCATATTATCGTCGGTAAGTGATGACACATCTGATAGTCAATCATCATCAGAATTCGATGAATAATTTGTTTTTTTGTTGGCTCACGATAATCAATTGTATATAACGTTCAGATGCCCAATTTACTTTTTTATGTTTAATCCAATTGAAATTCATATGATTTGACTCCCGATTTTATTTTTCTCCATGTGCTAATACTATATGAAAATTGTCTCTTATATCTTAGCGTTCTAACGCTTTATTTTTTTTTTCGTTGTTATGATTTGAAATATGTTTGTTTTTGTTGCACGCATGATCTCTTGGTATTATTCCAGCTTGTCACTTCCGCTTACGTTGAAGCGTATTGCTGGTTTGATGCAGCTGTCCATTGATAATCAATTTGAAATAAAATGACTTTGTTATGATTTGTCTCTATCAGAAAATCAAAAAAAAACCGACATGTGTACGTGTAGTTTGGTTGCATTGATCCCAACTTTCTTTTTAGTCTTAGTCTGTTTTCACTTTTTTTTCAAAACGCAACTAACTGTTTCTTATTCGTTAATGTGAATACTAGTTCTGCGCGTTGGTATATCAGTGTAAATTACTCAGGGATAATGGGGAAGTAAGATGATATTCAGTTTGAAGTGTCTATGAGTTCATGGACAATGAATAGTTTCGTTTCAGAGCAATACTATTTCGATGAATTATTTAATCTGGACGCTGAATGTTTACGATTCTTAAGCTCAAGGTAAAGCATGCTCATCTCTCATACATAGATCGTTTCGTCTTTCCTCAACCAATTAGCTTTCCCCCACTGCAACATGACGATTGGCTAAACTAAAATAAATTCGATTTCTCTTTTCATTTTTGCTATTTTGTTGTGCGTGCAACCCAATATCGGTTTTTATTAAACTATGCATTCCATTTCAATTACTGCAACTGTGGATATTAGGGTGTGGGTGTGGGTGGGTGTGGGGGTGGATGTGGGCATGAGTGTGGGTGTGGGTGGGTGTGAGTGTGGGTGTGGGTGGGGTGTGGGTTGGGTGGGTGGGGGTAGGGGTGTTGGTGTGAGTCTGATTAGTCTTATCGCACCAACACCCATAACCACACCCGCATCGGCACCCACACCCAACATACCCACACCACACCCACACCCACACTCCACATACCCACAACCACACCCGCATCGGCACCCACTCCCACACCCAACATACCTACACCACACCCACACCCACACCCCTAATTATCATTATATTTTTCAATCATTTCTAGATCTGGTGACATCCATAGCATTTTATAACAGAAAAAAAATTGAATTTCTTCGTGCGGGAACGGTCCATGCCAGACTGGGCCGATCCATCGAACCAGACGGCTCGTTTTGAGCTCTGGTAGTGATACTTTTTCTGCGTTTATTAGTAGTGCGGTGAGATCTGTTTTAAATAAGAAATTTTTTCTCTTGTGACTAATAATATGATTCGAATGAAAAAATAGCTAAATCTTATGAATACTAAATGTGTACAAAAATGAAACTTATGTTTTCAAAGTGATCATATACTGTTTGAAGCCTTTTTTATTGATGTCATATATAAGAGGTGTCCGAGAAAGTCTTAAGTAATATTGAAGTTCATCGCTATTGTATTCGACAAAAGCGAAGTCTTTGAAACTTTGATAGCAGATTATTACGAAGTTTCAGGTCTATAGCTTTTCCAGAAGATCAAAAATTGTAAGAACCCTCTCTTACAAAGTTTTTTTTTTATTTTTCAATTACTTGAATTGATAAATCAAGAAAATAATTAATTATTTATGTGAAAGTGATGAAAGCTTACTAGACTACGAAGTAGTGATTGTCGTAAAAAAAATGTGCCTTTTATGGAAAACAAATATGTGAAATTCAATTGCAACTATTATGGAACAAAACGTTGCTAACAACTAGATGATCGATAGAATATCATTCTTAAAGATGGTTGCGATTCTATATAGAGGTAGCCAATTACTTTGAATGTTTACTAAACAACTTTTGTTGTGTATTAAAAGAAAAATCACGTGAATGAAAATAACATAATATGAAATAATTGAACTATAGCGTTAAAAGTAATAGAACTATACAGTATGTTCTAATAGCACTTTGCAACAATAATTGAATTAATTGTTTATTTTTGCAGAAAGAAATAAGATAGGCATCCTCATAAGGTCTCAACTGTTCATGGTAAGTCAATTAAGAAGATATCTCAAACAGCCAAGTTAGCAAAACCAGACTTTTGAGTAGAAACAATTCATAAAAAAATCCTATAATTCAAAAAAATTAAATCTTATATGGATGGGTGTTGGTATCTCTGTCAGACCAAAATAACATCCACACTCTCGTGATGTTGATGCTCTTATCAAGAGTATGAATGGAGTTTGTGTGTGTATTCTCTTCATCAACACCCACACCTACATTCCCACTCTTACCCTTCATTATGAATGAATCGCGTACTAATGAATGGTAATGACCAATAAATAAAATATTTTCCTAATAAAAACTCAACATTTACATCAAAATGTTAGATAATTATTTTCCGATTTTTTTTTTCTGAAATTATAGAAAATGGATTCCGAGTTTTTCCTATTTTCAATAGAAAAAATCCGATTTCTAACTTTTTGATCTGACAACCCTGCCATATTGTACGAGAATTCTTTGCTTTTCGCGCTTTCATTTATAGATATCGCTGAGGGTTAGAGAGGTAAAAAAATTCATAAGTTTACGTTTATGGGCTCAATATGTGTGGAATGTTTCAGAGGTATCGCGTGCACTGTAACAAAAATCAATTTTGAAGTAGGGAGAAGGCCCTAATTCTATATTGAAAGACAATACAAAATAGATGACTAAGATGTCTCAACAACTTTAGTTTTCATTTAAGTTCAAAATTATTAAGCACATTGTTTTAAATTTTAACTATGTAGTACAACTGTTTAAAAATAATATCCATATTGGTTGGCTATAGGATAGCTCTAAAGAAAAATATCGACGAGGAAAATGGTTGTAGAAAATTCTTACTAGAGAGATGCTTTATTGTGTACGTTTAATACTAGCATCTAGTGAGAGAAATAAAACATCAATCAAGAGATTAAAAGGAATAATTATCAAATGTTTTTTTTTTCGTTTTTGCGAATTAATGAATGAAACATCTGGTGATTTTGGTTGAATTTCTTCTGATGAACATATAACAGTTCTAGCTGCAGCATAACAGTAGGACTTTAGTCATATAATTACACTTTGTCAAATTCGCTCAACGTTATCTGTGTCAAGTATTAATCATCGCTATTATTAGTAATGAAAAATCTAGACTAGTAGAATCATCGAAACAGAAAATATGAGTTATTTTTGTTTACGATCACCGTTTACTGAAGACATCACTATTTTATCTACTTCTAATTTTGACGTTTTACATGTCAAAATTTATTCTTCAACTTTTCTACAGCACACCTTCACATTCTTTGATCCAATATTTCGATGAAATAGATTATCTTAAAGATTGTCGTTCCTTGATGTACTTCTATCACAAAAATAATTAATCACTAATCATATCTCTAACATCTTGCTTTCTTTTCATTTTTTTCAATCGTTATCATCATCTTATCTATATTATTCACTTAAACTAACGAATATATGCTATATTATATGAACTTCTTTTTTTTTTCATTCCTTTCAACCTATAAACATTGAAAAATATTTTTAAACGTTGAACGAAAAAGAATATTCAATTCGACGAATAAGAACACTGTGTGTAAGGTCACATTCGAAGAGAGAAAAGGAATAAGCAACTTAGAAATTTCTTGTACACGAACTACGTTTTCTTCATTCATTCATTTCCTTCACGTCACATCTTGATATACGAATGATCGAGTAACAAATATTTTCTCATAAAATGACTGATTTGGAAACAATTACAAAAACTTCTCAACATCTTATTACCACTCCATTGGAAACAAACGGCACTACCTGCTGTTCACATTCACGAGATCGTGCAGAACGAGTTGCTCGTCTTAAAAAATATAGTGAAGAATTGGAAGTTATAAAGGTTCGATTAATTAATGATTGGTTATGTTGGTCAATTTTTAATCTAATCTGTGGAGGAAGTGTAATGAGTTTCATTACAGTCGCTCTTTCGATTATTTGTCGAAGTAAAAAATCAACCAATGATTATGAAAATGCTCAATTGACGAGCAAATTGGCATTAATTTTCAATTTTTTTATTACAATTGGAACAATTATTGGATGGATTATGTTATATTTTCTAATTATGGATACAGATAAAAGAACTGTACAACTTGTCAATGATATTAAAAAAATTTTCTAAATCGATTTTTCTCTGTTTTTTTGTTTTGTTATTCAATAGAAATAACATTTAGATGAAACTCTTGAAATAGGTTGAGAGTTTATTTCAATAAAAGCATTTTTACTAGATATCAATAAATCAAATATAAAATAAAAAATGTGATTGTTAGTCTTATTCGTATAACTAAATTCTTTATATTGTTCGTTATCACCAAATCTACAATTTTAATTAGTTCTAATTTTAATAAAAGTTATCAATAAAAATATCAATAATTCTGAGCATTTGAAAAATTCTTTTTTCTCTGAATAAATTTGAGACGGAGAGAATATGAAATTGTCTCCTGTGAGATATAAAACTTTCACTATTTGTTTTAAATAAGCATAGAATTGTAGAAATAAATTGTCTAATGAATTTCAAACGACCTCAGCCAAGGAACAAAATTGTGACCATTTATTACGACTCAACTGATATTTAATACAATAAATCATATACTATTTAGAGAATATATACAAATAACATAAGTTTTAAATACTAATCATCTCATTTACAGTTATCATAAATTAGTAAATTTATAAACATGAGTTGAATATGAATAATCTAGACAAAGATATTGAAATCAAAGTTTTCAAATGAGTTGATATCACTACCAATATTTTTGAATGTTTTAAACACTTAAAAATGGCAAAATCCAGTATTTTTTTTAAAATTCGAATTGAAATTTCCTTCGTATTCATTTCATTTGTAAATGATTAACATGTTTCATACTATTTCCTAATGGAAAGTCACTCGTATACATACATTATATGATGAATAACGAAACTGATAATTAGAATTTACTTTTAGATAAATGATGTTATAGTTGTGGATCGAATTAAAGATAAATTCTATACCATATTAAATACCTATGAAATGAGACATTTGTGTTCAAATAATCTGATCTAAATGAATTCCAATTCTATATTCCGTATCGAACATATGCAGTGAAAAATTCTAAGCTAAATATGATTCTGATGAAATTATTACTTGTCGTCAAACAAATCAATTTAAAATATTACAGACCTATAACGACTATGAATCGAGATGATCAATTTTTGTTTTTAGTGAATGTTAATTTGACCCAAATATGATCAATCTTTTCTTATACAGGTATAAACTATTGTTTCATGAGATCCTTTACTAGGCATGCACCCAAACCGTTTGGGTCACTTCTGCCCAAATAAGGAAAAATGCCCTTATTTACTGAACCATGCTATGCAACAGTTTTTCTTCAATGAAAAACGTAAGTAGGAGGATGACACTATAGAATGCCAAAAGAGAGATTTCGGCAACCTTCTTAGACTAAATACTAGAGTCAATCACAAAACCCAAACCCAAACCCAAACTCATTGAGTTTGGGTTTGGGGGGTTGTTCAGTTCTCTTTGAATATATCATTTAATGAAGCAGCTCATTTGATCATTTTCCATTTAGTTGTCAAAGACAGACTTCCTTCAATATTAATGGCGATACAATTTATTGATACAGTTCATAGTCAGTGAGATAAGTTTGAAATACCCAAATTCTTCTATTGAGTTTGGGTGCATGCCTATCCTTTACTTATTGGTTTCAGAAAATTTTCTTAAAGTCTTTCTAAAGAGTTTCAAAATTGCCTCTATTTTGAAATGATATTTTTATTCAAAATAAAGATATAATAATATTGAGTTATTGAATGAAGCGGTGACATTAACAAATATTGTAGAAAATACAAGAATTAGTCTCATGAGAAGTCTATTGAAATTGTTAATCAACACATTCACTATTAGTTAAAGGAATACAAAATAACATATAGACATTTGATAAAAAACATGACATACATCACCTTAAATACATCATTAATATTAATGAAGAGTTTATCTATTATGATAATACATTTTGCATAATCGATTGATTAGATTGACAGTTTAAATTAGTAAAAAAAGTTTTCTTGAAATATTTTATTTCATTTCGAAATGAACTTACATTAGTAAATTTTAGAGAAGAATACAATTAGAGACGACATTAGCTTGACCAAAAATCTTAGCAACATCGCTAGATAGTTCGCTAAATAAATCAAAGAATTCAAATAGATATTCATCAAAAATGATTAACGTCAAAGTATAAGTCGTAATTCTAATCTTATCTAAACAAAAAACGAGAATTTTAAACGTAGTTTGGTATCAAATAAATCTTCAATGAAATAAAATTTATAGTCAAATAACACTGAAAAAAAAATTTTCTTTTATTATAAATGATAAGAACATAAGAGATTACATTTGTTTTTTTTGTTCTAAGTACAATCAATGAAGGTAACTAATATAAATACGTCGACCTTTCGTAAATGTCTTTCTCTAATAAATGAAACTTATCACAGTTGAACTTTTTTTTTCTTTGTTGATGCTCTCTATATATGCATTATTCATAATTTGAATGCGGATGCGATTGTGGGTTTGGGTGTAGCTGTGTTATTTCCTCATCAGAGACCGAAGCGAGGAGGTTTTTTGAGTCCCATCTTGCCCCACTCCTACATAAATTTTTTTTTATCAGAGATAAAATTAACTGGTGGACCTACGCAGTAGTACGAGGTGGCAGTTACCACCGCAGAAAGTTTTAAAATAACCGATAAATGCTCATAAAGTATTTAGAAAAAAATCGATTTTTTTGCAAGTAGGTGCCACTCCAAAAAATTTGGGTTTTAGCCCACCATTAAATTAACCAGCATGCCGTTACAGAATATTCATCAGAAATAGAATTTCAGACGATTTTGCAGTGAATGCCAGTTCCGAACATGTTACTTAGAGGTTGAATAGAAGTCTGACTTCGGATATAGTTTGAACGTTAAATTTTACATTCGACGAACTATTTTTCAAGAGTTTAGAGCTGTTCATTGATCGATTCTAATAAAAGTTTATGTTCTATTTACATTTAAAGCAAAAACTTAGAAATCTTTATCCAAGGTCTAATTACAGATCATGCTACTAGATAATCAAATTATCGTGTACTTATCTTTTCAAAATCTGTACACACTTGTGTACTTGTATTTTACTCAAGTTCTTGCTTAGAAGATATTTTACAAGGTTAAAAATTGCAGGTAGCCTTCGCACCTAGATGCCTTACTCATTTCATTTTTGAGCCTGCTGCGAGTGAAAAACGTCAGAATACGAGAGCATCAATCCTGGCATTGGATTGGTTATCGACTTTGTGTCGAAATGTTCATAGTTGTTTAATGAAAATCCGAGTAGGAGAAGCTTCAGGGATACGATCAAGTCACTGTCTCGTTTGGCTCCGTCAAATTTTTTATCCGCCCTGCGCCATTTAAGAAAAATCGGTCACGCCCCGAATCTCCGTCCTGTTACAGTCTCTGTTCCTCATACATCCACCCACACTCCACTCTTTCCGAGAAAATAATTGATGACGAAATTGAGGGTGTGGGGTGTGGGTGGGTGTGGTTGTGTGTGAGTGTGGGTGTGGGGTGTGGGTGTGTGAGGGTGTGGGTGTGGTTGGGTGTGGGGTGTGGATGGGTGTGGGTGTGGGTGTGGTTGGGTGTGGGGTGTGGATGGGTGTGGGTGTGGGTGTGGTTGGGTGTGGGGTGTGGATGGGTGTGGGTGTGGGTGTGGTTGGGTGTGGGGTGTGGATGGGTGTGGGTGTGGGTGTGGTTGGGTGTGGGGTGTGGATGGGTGTGGGTGTGGGTGTGAATGAAGGTAACATAAGCACCTACCCACACCCACACCCACACCCATACCCACACCCACACCCGCACCCCAACCCACCCACATTCACACCCACACCCCAACCCACCCACATTCACACCCACACCCACATCCACCCATACACCCACACTCACACCCACACCCACCCACACCCACACACCCACACCCACACCCACACCCTCTTTTGTTATTCCTGAAGATGATAAGAGTATCTTATCGAAAGCTTGAATAAAATAATATATGATTTTTGTTTAAAATCTACTATGATATTCGTAGCAGTTCTTTACTCACTATTTACTAAATTATTTAATACTGCTTTACCTTCAAACTATGTATTAACCAATTTCCTTTTTTTAAATTAATAATGAAAGGATGTTGAAGTTCATTATATAAAAGAATTTTTTTTAAAACAGATATTTATCATTGAAGATTACAATAAGAAAATTTTCCATAATCAAGTATCAAATAAACATCAAAACCTTCTCCATCAATTTGTTCTTCAACAATGAATGATAAAGAACATGTTCAAGATCAACTAATATTTATTTTTTAATTATTTGATTAAGTTGATTTGACGAATTTCAATATTGACTTAATAATTCTCTTAAGTAAATAACTAATTGATGAATTTGTGGAAGAAATAAAATTTGTAAAGCAATAACTGATTCTAGACTAAATTCATCTGTAAATTCAATTGTTCAAAAACCAATATAAACACAAGAATTTCGAGATATTAAACAAACACAATGACTTTCTTTTATTATTCAATTTTTATTTAAATAGACTTTTGTATGTTCAAGTCCATTTATATATTCATTAGACCTTTTAAAATTTTTAATTGATTCTTTATCTTGTGAATGATTAATTAATGTTTCAAATATTATTTTATCAATAATACCTTCAATGAATAATGGACTTTTCATTTCGTCCTTACTTGAAAAAAATATGTATGACTGATTAATAACATGGATTTGTATCTTTGAAGATTATGATGAGTCATTAATAATACTAATATACTTATTTTTCTTCTATTCATATATTCTAAATTTATGATGATCTGTTATAGCATAGGATGAATTCAATACATTGTAAAGAAATTGAATTAGTGTAAAATGTATCATATTATAGCTCGAATCAGAGCTGAGTACAAGAGAAGAAAGTCCTGCTTCTGCTGTTCTGCCACCCATCAGGACAGGACAGAACGAACAAGTTGGTCCTAAAATAAATATCTGTTACTTTTGCGACAAGTTTTTGTGGTTCAAATAAATATTCATTTAAATCTCGAACTTTTAAATTACGTCGTTTAGGTCGAATCTATATATTAATGTTGAAGGAAATAATTAAGCATTGATGCAAGTCTTTCACATATAGCTGAATAAGAAAATATTGATTGCATATCATTTGTTATCATATCGAGAATAATAAGCTATCTAATAAAAATCGTTATTTTGACGCGTATACAGGATTTACTGCTGTAAACAATCTTTATAAGGCGCGCTGTGTTTACATGCAAATTTTAAAAAAGCAATAATTAAATTCGAGCTATCTCATTAAAATTATATTCATTCATCAATTTAAAAAATAATCATCTCAAATATTTATTTGTTCAACTGTTTTTCTTTTCTTCCCCCCCCCCTCCACCCTCTGTAATTTGTAATTATTTTGAAATAAATAAACTAGAGACATTGAACCTTACATATAGAAACGTTTTCATTTAATAAATGTGTGAAATAAATGTAGAGTAATGATAAATACCATTTTCCAAGATTCATACAATTAGATTCTATCCTTAAGACTTGTACAGTTACAAACATCTCTATTGTGTTCATTGCCTATAGAGAAGAAAACGACCGAACATGTTTGTTATTTCACGTGATTAGGCATCTTGGATCGTTGATAACGATTTTCTTAAACGAGTACAAGACGAAACATATTTATAGAAAATATTATCATCTTAATAAACGATTTATTTATTAATTCAAAAATTCCAGAGTCGATTAATATTTCAGTAATGTCAAAATCGATTTTCGAAGATTTTACTAAATGTTCTTTATGATTCATTGGAGATACGATCTATAGAAAAAGAATGATATGGTTAATCGTTTGTAAAGACCATTCATTAAAAACATCTCACATTGTGACATAATACTTTACTAAGAATTCTCGAAATTTGAGATGTAAACAATCTCGTAAAAGTAAACTTTATTGATAATTCAGAAATTTTTACTAAGATAAAACTATATTAGTAATTAATTAATATTTTAATATAGAAATGAACGCTTACATGAAAATATGGTTCACAACATTATTCGGTAAAGGACCTATATGCAATAAACCTTTAGCACTGGCTGGATATTTGCTTAAGATGAAAACAGTGGCAAACACAATTCGACGTCACAATACTTCAATGTAATTATATATTTCAAATCGAGAAATGTATTTTAGTTCCATCGAAAGTCACTAGTCAAATGGTAATATCTCAACAAACTAATTTGTATATTTGAGTCGATTGAAGAGATGTTTTGAAAAAGCTGTTATTAACTGTAAAAGAATTATGACGCATGGCTACAATCAATCGTCTCTTAATGCATCATTTGCTTTACATTTTTTATACTATGCAAACAATATACGACGAAAGTTGTAAATGTAAGTAATCTTTTCTTTAATCTCTACTTACAATCAGATCTGTGTTAACTCATGAAAATCTTTCTCGATAAAAAGAATATTTGGTTTCCATAGAAAACTGTTGTTTGGAGAAAAATCATATTTGTTGTGTACATTCCATATTGCAGCTGTATGTTTTGTTGAAGAGCATGGTAAACAATCATTTAGCTTATGTCAATAAATCACTTGTCACATGAAAGAGAAAATACATTTTTTCATTCTTTTCATCTTCTTACTTATTTTGTGAGTTCACAAAAGAAATCACAAGCTTCAATAAATTTTTCGATGACAACACAGTGTTTTTTCTTCATAGTTGTTACCTTTTTCCCGTTAACTGTAGGATCTCAGTTTCTCGGTGGATCGATCTCATGGTAAGCATTTTCATATAAATTAAATTCTTATATTCCCTATTACAATGATTTTTGAAAAAGGCAACCGCTGAACTCCAGTCAAACGACGGGTAACATTTCGCTTATATTTCATCAACGCTCCTCTTGGCGTCGCACTTCTGTTCCATGTAACAATGTAACAATAGCGACACATAGTGCTTTCTCTGCCACTTCTACGTTGGTTTGTTATACAGGTTCTTGTGGTGCTTCAGGTTGGATTAATACGAGTACAACCGTTTCTTGTACTGATTATAGTGTCAATGCTGATTTGAGTACAGGCGAGCAATATTATTTATTTCCTATTAATGGAAATAATTTATTCAGCATTGGATTTGTCTCGGGATTCTGGATGTCGAATCTTGCCATTGGAAATGGTACAGGATGGAGTATCATCAGTCGAGTAAATACATTTGTTCGTCTAGATGGTTTTCTCAATCGAAGTCCTGTAGCTACTACTTTGCCAATTATCTATAAAGAAGTTAATGTTCAACAAACACATTTTGTACAGATAAGTGATGGTGATGGTAGTGATATTCTTCGTTGTCGATGGGCAGTTGGAACTACCAATAACACAAATGTATATGATGAATGTGGTGGCATTTGTCATGGCATACCCGGAGCTATTCTGTCATCGAATAATTGTTCTTTAACATTTACTCTCAATCGAAGTTCCATTTATTATGCTGTTGCTTTGCAAATTGAAGATTATTATTTATCAACTTCATCATCGCCAATGAGTTCAGTTCCAATTCAGTTTCTCATCTATTCTTATGTTGCATCAGGTGGCTGTGGTATCCCACCAGCAATCATTGGTACTCGATCAAATCAAGGTCAATCATCTTCGATATTATTTTTCATAGAATCTATGTTAATAGTTTAGCTTGTATTACCACATCTGTTGGATCTTTCATAACGGAATCAGTCATTGCTGAAGTCTACTGTCCAGGACAAACGATCAATGAATTTCTCACTGTCTCACCTTTGGGCATGCAACAAAGTTCAATTCAGAACATTACCTCGAGTTTGTTTGTTTGCCGATCATTTTCTAAATTTTCTAATTATTTTTTTTTGTAGATCTGTATCAAATCAATCTTACTTGGACTCCCACTGCTAATCAACTTGGACCTCAAAGCTTTTGCGCTGCAGCACTAGATAACACGAATATTTCATCTGATCAATGGTGTATCACATTTTTAGTTGGTTTCAATTCACCCGATCTTATTCGACCTTCACTCATTCAAGGCGCAGTTTCGCCAGTCGGCACAATTTTTGCTAACCGATCCCTATTTACTGCAATGAGTAGGTTTAGAATATAGTTTTGTTTTTTGAAAAACATTGAGTCTATATCTACTATATAGCAACACGACCAATCACACGTCCTTCACATAATGACACATTTGTTTATTTTAAAAATTTGGCAAATAACGTCACAGCATATTCTATTGATTGTGCAACCAGTTCAGAAATACTTTATCTTGACACATTACTGGTGATTAACGTCTCTAATGCATCATGGACTCCCGGTGCAATTTACTATATCACCTTCGATGATGGTAATCTGCTTTTATTTTATTACAATCTTTTATATTTTATTATTTGACTAGGAGCAATTAGTGGCTCTGCTTACTGTGGTAAGTTTGTCTGTGTAAATTTTTGTTTACATCAATATCAACAGTTGAATTTATAGGTCCAGAATCTTTTGCTATCTCAGATCCTACATTTTGGACATTTGATATCTGGAATCCTGGTCTATCATCAACGATCAGTGTCAGTACTTTAGTGAGTTCTTGACTATTTGCTAGCTCGTATTGGATATTGTTAACCTTTCCAGAGGGATAAATTATTTTATACTTTAGATTTTATTAGAACCAATTCTTGATGTAATCTGTATACATTTCATATTTAGGGATCGACTATTTCTACTGCAACAAGTATCTCAACTATTAGTAGTACTTTTATGAATTCCAGTAAGTTAAAAAAAAAAGAAACATATTTTCTGTTGTAATCCTATTTTCTTAGCAATAATTAAATTGATCTACTAAAATTTCAAAATATCTTATTTATGACTATTTCAAAAGTAATTTCTATATTGTAACATTTGTTACGAAAAATAAAAGATAAACATCTGTGAAAGTCATCCTGCATCATATTATAAAACAAGTATATCATACATAACTATGACTTATCTTCAATATCGTCCAGCATGTTTTCTTAATGAAGTCAACTATGTTTAGGTCAAACAACACAGCAACCTCAATATTTTTGTCCCACAAATGGATCATTAATAGAACTAACTAGGTCATCATCATCACATTCGGCATGGAATCCTTTATCAAACTGTTCTTTAACATTATGCAATGTCACTTCGAGTAATAATATTTGCCGTTCATCGACAACACCTTGCTTTGAATATCGAACAAGCATGAATATCACCTATTGTGCACCTGCTGCTCTATGTTCGATCCTACAGCCCTGCAGTAATGGAACAGGTCAATGCAATTCAAACACAGCTGTGTGTATTGTTAATTCTTGTTGTACGTTACAAACCGTGTGTCTTCCATTTGCTTGGACTGATTTATGTACATAATGAGGACGTGGAGCTACCATTATGTTAACATTGCACCTCAGTCAAGAGGATCATCAGATGATCATGTTTCAATTCAAAATTAAAGTAGAATCAAAACATTGAAATTGGCAAATCAACATGTATTTTTCGTTTTTTTTTTAAATTTTTTGTTAAATATAAGAAATATGAACAATAAGAAGAAAAAATAATCGAATTAAAAATGAGGTCATATCTCAAGTCATTTAACAATGGTGAGATGTACAGAGTAGTTTTTAGTGCAAGAGTCATAATGAATCATTTTATAAAGAGGCGATATATCTAAATAGTTAATGGTGGAAGAGTATGTCGAATAATTTAATACTGAGAGTATGTGTAGAAGTATATAATTTAATAATGAAAAAATAATATTGAAAACATGTATAGAATCATTTCATAATTAAATTTTGCTCTTGTTGAATTACGTAATGAAGTTCAATGTTCACTTTTTCCTAGTACATTTCGTACATGAAAAGCTCAATCTTCTGGATATCTATGACTGATCAGAACTTGTATGAAACACATAGTTTCGACCTAAAGATCATCAATCAGACTTTTCTCAAACAACGATTCTTTAATAACAAAATTATAATTAACTATTCATATCTATATTTCTATTTAGGTTCCTGCACAATCGTTATGGTGGTTGTAAAGATACTCTTTCAGTTGATCCAAAACTTGATGGTCAACAGTATCGATTAGTAATTTGGGATTCAATGAATAAATTTAATAGTGATCATGATATACTTGAATTATGTAAATTATTAGCACCACATAAGTTAATTTATTTGACTATATATATAATTGATTTATGAGTATTGATTATAATGAACAAATTTGGAAAGAAATTAATGAATATCTCGTTTCGATTGTTATATTCAAGAAAAGTTGAGTGGAGGCGATGAGACAGGTGATTTGAATCTAGAACTTTTGCCATCGACTGGACTGTTCAAATAACATATCAATTGATGTTTTTGAAAATTACATGTTTCATATTTCCTATTATTTTGTAGTAATATTTTATGACTTATCTTTTTGGAATTAGGTATTTATATCCATCGAGAAAGTAGTACTGCTCCAGGAAAATAGTATATTTTCATTTGAACGATTCATCTTCTATTGAAGTAATTTACAGATTTTCCATATTCTCTTTTGTATGAAAAGGCATAGTGAAAATTATAAAATGAAGATTTATAGGATTTTGAAACATTTACATAAATCGATGCGTGCCATACTTGCAAATGTTTGATAAAGTACGACCTCAATCATGCTCTTCTACAGGCAATATCGATTTTGTGGAATATCATCCTCTACACGAAGATAATGTCTATGTTGCTGATAGTTACAATCATCGTATTCAAAAGTTCTCTGGTGTTTCATTGACTAATATTAATATTACTGTCGTTGGAGACAACGGTGGAGGATATACACCAAATCAATTAGATCATCCTTCGGCTGTTTACGTTAACAAACATGAAAATCTTTATATAGCTGATTAAGATAATCATCGTGTCCAACTATGGCACAGAAATGCAAAAAAGTGGTATTACCATTCCTGGTGGAAACGAAACAAGTGGAGATGCCACTCCATTTTGCTATATATTTGGTATTTTTTTCCATGAAAGAATGAATACATTGTATGTATCAGACTCCACGAACAATCGGGTTTTGAAATTTGTTAATAGAAGTCAAACTGAAATTTTAGTCGCTGGGCAGAGAGAAAATGGACCATCGAACGAATATATACAGAACCCAAACAATATCTATGGAGATGAATGTGAAATGCTGTGTATGTAGTTGATACTGGATATAGTTGTATCTTAAAATATGAGAAAGGAGTTGCCAAAGGTGTTCCAATCGCTCGAAATGCTGGATCATTATCACCATTAGCCAGTAAATTCGATCGACAGAGGGTTTTGGCAATTGATCAATATAACAATATTTACGTTACCGATACGTTTTATCATCGAATTCAAAAATGGGGACCCAATGACAGTGATGGAACAACTATTGCTGGTGGTACTCGTAATGGTAAAGGTGTCAATCAACTCTTTTTTTCCGGATAGTGTAGCATTTGATAGCAAAGGAAAACTTTATGTTTGTGACTGAGGAAATGAGCGAATTCAAATGTTTGAAATTTTACGAAAAACAAACAGTTGTTGATTATAAATGATTTTAAAATAAAATCAAACTTATGATGATCTAGAAGTCTTCCTTAATCAAAGTAAAATAACTGAATATATCAATTTATAAAAGAGAAAGAAACCTAGTGTCAAGATCATAGGAAGAACAACAAGATGAATTGAGTATTGATTTAATTTATTCCACAAAGTAACAAGATGAGCTATTTTGTTTAATTTTCAAAAGATTAGTATTTGATCCGTATGTATGTCAAATCAGTGACCTATTGAATTGCTAAAGATACAGGATATTTGCAAAATTCCACAAAATCAACCAAAAATATGTTGAAACTCTTTCAAGAATAAGAATAAGTTCTACAAGCGATAAAAATTTTAGTCCGATAATCTTGTTTAAAACATTTTAACCATTTAGTTACTGTTGTATAAGATTCATCAGCCTTACCTTTAAACAAGAGTCAATAAAGTCTTCTACGAACTTCATGTGTCACATCCAAAACTTTACAAAATTCGTGATGCATATTATCATCATGAAAGTAAAACGACTAATTTTTGTTTCTATGCCCCTCGTGCAAGAATGTTTGGCTCATATTAACTGTCTATGGTATAGCACAATATCGATTGCAAATGATAAAAAATCATGAGGGTCAATTGGAAATTGTAACAGATAAAGCTCCACCGGATCTACTAATTCATGGTCATCATGGAAGATACAAGTTGTGAACAGATCCAGTAAGTTTTTCTATTGTCTCTAGTGGGATAACTCGACGTGTCGATCCAATCAATTGTTCATGATAAAACAGTTTACAAAAGGGATGATCAAAATTGAATGAGACAACGTGTTCAAACTAATCCTTTGAAATCACCATTGTCAGTCTATGAAATTCAGCTAAAGCCATGGAAAAGTAGTGTCTATTGGCCATTACACTTTCGTCAAATAGCAAGTGAATCAATAGCTTATTGTAATCAAATGGAGGGTGTGAGTGTGGGTGTGTGGGTATGGGTGTATACGTCTTCATCCTTAACTTATCCAAAGTCACACCTACACCTACATCCTACCCACCCACACACACCCACACCCACACCAAGGCTGTGGGTGTGGGTGTTAAATATCGCTTGATGCTCAGTCACATCCACACCCACACCCACACCCCACCCACACTCACACCCACACGCCCACACCCACACCTACACCCCACACCAACATCCACACCCCACAGCCTAGCTTACATGACTTCTCTTTTTGATTATTTGATCGCACTTCACACACGTTTTACGAAATTTCGCTTTGTAGCATTTATTGCAATAGAAATCTCCGTTATTTTGATAGTATAAACCACTCGATATGAAAGTTGAACATACAGAACACCATTTTGACATCGCTAGAGATCAGACAATATTCTTTCTGTCACAGACAGTTAAGATTGTTAGAATGAAGCTCAAAGAAAAAAAAACCTCCTCTTGCCAGTTCTTTTTTCCAAGCGAATTGCGTTCTTTTGTCGTGACTAAGAATCTACGATCTTATGTGATAAAGCACACAATTGTACAGTACTGACTCATAGTTACTCCAGCAGAAATGTTTATTTGAATTTTAAAGTGAAAGCAAGCAAATAAACTTTTGCGACTGTTCTGTTCTTGTTCTTTTCGGACAAAATTGATCGCAAATCTGCATAAGAGATACTGTCAGATGAAGACCATCCGGCCCGAGATTTTCAGACCCAAACTCCGACACGGACTTACTTGAATTATTTGGGACCCGAACATAGGTGAGCACAACTGATTGGATGCGAACTCGGACCCCATTTATTAGACTTTTTCTAGGGTGTGAGTGTAGGTGTAGAACGGAAAGAATACACACCCACCCCTGCACACACATTCATACCCGCACACCTACACCCACGTTCGCACACCCACAGCTACAACCACGTTCGCACACTCACATCCACATCTACACCAACATTAGCACGCTCACGCCCACCCACCTACACCTACACCCCACATTCATACCCCATACCCATACTATTTGTACGCCTGACGTCCCAGTTTGCAAACATCAGAACATGGATGGTGAGGTGTTGGCATGAATGTGGATGTGATTGCCTAGATGAACTGTGAATGTGGATGTAGGTGGATGGGTGGGCTATCAATGTGGATGTGGCTGCGGGCGTTAGTGTGGCTATAATGCTTCAGTATATCGGTATCAGAAGAAAAGGTACACACCCACACCCATGCCACCACACACCCACAAATATCCGCACACAGCCATACCCCACCCCCGGCCCATACAGATGCGTCAGTCTCTAATTCGAATGGTGTGAGTGTGAATGAGGAGTATATATGTAGCTGTTGGTATTTTTCTTCACCGACACCTTCTATTCGACATCATTGCTCACACCCTGCAACACACTTCAATGGCAATTTAATGTGTGTACACAGAGAAAAGTGCATGTAGCTTATTGCAAACTTTGTTCTCCATACAAAGTAAACATTCAAATAGCCTTAAAGACAAACGAATAGCGGAGAAAAAGGCATTCGAAAATAAAAAAATATGACAGCGCCACCATGTTGTGCACTAACAAACATCGTTTGTGAGCGAAACAAGAAAGCGACAGAACATATCAGCGCAACCAATCGACAACAAAGACATCTTAGAGGGTGTGGGTGTGGATATGAGTGTTTAGTCATCCACACTCGCACACCCACACCCACACCCACACCCACTCACACCCTACACCCACACACCCACACCCACCCACACCCACACCCACACCCACACCCACACCCACACGCCCACACCCACCCACGCCCACACCCACGCATACCCACACCCACACCCATATGCTGATGGATATTTTACATAGTTTTAGCTTTATTTTATGATTTTTTTTTTGTATTTTGAGTCATATTTTACCAATCTTTGATCTCTTCATTACTAGAATTTATAGAGGATCTTTTATTGTCGTGTAAAAAAAAGATCGACTATGTTCTACATGATTATAAAGACTAATATCCAATTAGAGAAACTCATATATAAAGTGTCACATATACGGTGGAATCACCCTATAGTGTTGATCGCCGTTTGCCATATTCTAAAACGAGAAAGCAACCGGTAATGATAGTACATATCAATTTATACTTACATTTATTGACAGGAACTGTTATCAATAAGAAATTTTTGTATTCTTCCATTCTTACCATCGACAACATAAAGATTTCCCTCACTATCAAATCCTAAGTCAGTGGGATTGTGAAGTTGATTCGAATGGGAACCTGAACCACGATCACCAACAATCACAATGCCATTTGTTGATCCTGGTAGCCATCGTGTAATTCGATGATTGCCCCACTCAGTGATATAGAGAGCACCTGACTCGTCAACAGCAATTGAGTGTGGTTTTGATAATCGATGTGTACCACTATGTTCTGATCCATCGACTACAACCGAGATAGTTCTTTTTCCTTCGTCTATCTTTAATATTCGATCATGGTACATATCAACCATATAAACAGATCTATGTCGATCAACAGTCAATGGGAAAGGTCCTACTTCACCAGACATGAGTACTTGACCATAGGTTACACCTTTACGATATTTCTTCAGTTTTGATGAAGACATAGAAGATACATAAATTGATTCTTCATTATCTATTGCTATACTAAGTGGACTATGTATATTAATCATTGTTTCACCTCTGTCAGCACCTCGAATCCATTTTTGAACTTGATTAATTGTTAGGTAAGCAATGTAAATTGTTCCATTTTTATCAACAACGACATCAAACGGCTTACTCGATCCACATGTATTAATATTTTCTTTATCATTCCCATCTGTTATTATTTCAACACTTGAAGCATCTTGTTTCCATTTAATAACTCGATGATTGCCAGTATCTGCTATATAAATTGTTTGATTTTCATCGATAAACATTCCTTGAGGAAAATCAAGATCGACAGATGGACCTTCGTAACTGGTGCCACCAATTATTGTGATACCATGTTGAGCCCATGTTGCTGTTGAACAAATGTTACCTTTAGGTTTTGGTGATAACGGTGAAGCTAAATGTACGTATATAAAAACGAAACTTTATTAATTTATTCATCGAAATGAATAACTTAGTCGTATTAGAACTGCTGTCAATTTCTTTTTTTTTATGGACTCAATTCTGTCTTGATTGATTTAAAGTAAAACCTCCCGAATGTGTTGCAAAGTAATTGTCGTTTCATAAAAATACTTAACAGGTAGATAAATGATTTTACAATTAGAAAGATTCGAATGAAAATATATAATATGTTTGCTTATTTTGTTCTGAATTTGACATATTATTAATAATTTTCAAAAATAAATATATATATAGATCAGAAAGAACTTTGACGAATCATGAATGTAATTCTAACTATTCTATTTCTCTTTAATCTTCAATTACAATTGAGATAGATCGTTCATTTGTTTTACTCTCTTCTTTCTATGCTATTATTCAGTTTAAATTATGAAAATTCAATAACTCACTTGTTGTTCTATCGATCGTTGTTATAGTAGTTGGATTATTCATTGTTATTTCTAAAGAAAACGAAATATGTTTAAATGGTACGCATATATAAAAGTTTTCATTGAAGACAAATATTTTTTTAAAAATATTTTGAGCCTTGGATAGGTGAACATGATAATAACAATAAATAGTGTTTAGTGCAACAGAAGAAAAAGAATACGATATATATATATATATATGAGTAACAGATTGCTAGTAGCTTCTAAATAGTATTTTTTCGAAATTTTTCTTGAAAATCTTATTTTACATCTTGTCATGCAACGGAAGGAGTTCGGTTTATGACAGATTTATAACTAAGGATGAGAGCTGATTCTTTCGCATTATGTTTCTCTTTTGATGCAGTCTAAATGTTATATATATATATAATCAACAAATAAATTCACATGAATCCGATGATGTATATAAATGTCACCGACTGTTCGTAATTTTACAGCTTAGAAAAATTTTGAAAATGATAACAATCGTAGGAAACTGAATATTTGCTGGTAAGCGATTTAGTTTAAATGTTGATTTGATTCACTTAAACATCAACAGTGACATGCGCATCCGCGAGAAATTGTATTTGTGAACAACTATCATGCGAGCATCTTTTCTAAACCCATAATTGTGCTGTAACAAATGTATAAAAATAAGTACGGTTGTAACTCGTTTTTTTATATTTCTTTCACGTTCTACTACGCCACCTATATGATATAAGGTGGACGTCAATAATATTTTACGAAAATAATCAATTCAAATTCAAGTGTACTAAAGACCTTAGTAAAAATTAGAAATTGCTATATTTGAATATGAAGAAAAGTTAGGTACTGAAAACGACCACGCGTGTCATTTTCTTGGACCTGACTAATCCAACTTCATACTTTGTGCTCGTTCATGTAATTTATTTCGGAATTTTGCAATTTTGCTGAAACTGCAAATTTTTTTGTATGAAAATTGGCAATAACGAGAGAACTAACCAAGGTGACAATTCGGGAATGTGTCAACTCGTCACGTTTTTTCTTGTCTGGTTTTCGTAACGAATTGACAGTACGAAAGCCCGTGACAGAGCTTTCGTAACGACAAAATCAGGGCTTTCGTAACAAAAAATCAGGGGTTTCGTAACATATTTTACAGGGTGATCGTAATTGGTGTTTTAATATGTACCATTACAGAGCTTTCGTAACGAAAAGCATGTCATTTCCGCAAACTAAGCCCAGCTATCATCCTCATCCTCATTACGAAATCCCTGTTGCTTCGTTGCGAAAGCTCTGCAACTGTTACGAACACCCTGTATTAATCGTTACGATCTCCCTGTAAATTTCGTTACGACATCCCTGTATTTTTGGATATCCCTATTTTTGGTGTTACGAAAGGTCTGATTTTTGCTGTTTGTTCAACTCGTCACGTGACGAGTTGAGACGTTCTCGACAATTCACATTTTCGATGGGATTTCCTTCGTTAGGCAGAGCCTATTGAAACTAGAAAAAATCTAGAAAGATTTCTTCTCTCTGGAATGTCCTTCTGGAGTTATGACCTTCTCAATGCATTTTTGACTGTTGATAGAATATTCATCATAATAATCGAACAATCGAATTTCGACTTGAAATTTTGTTTACGAGTAGATCTCCATTTCATTAGAATGTTCTAAAATGTTGAGTCAAAAAGAATGATTCCTTCTTGAGATATCCAATTCGCGAAAAAAACTAGATTGTTTCTACTTCGCATGAAATATTATAATTTTTTTGAGAATTGGATATCTCAAGAAAGTATAATTCTTTTTGACTGAAAATTTTAGAATGTTCTAATGAAATGGAGATCTACTCTTAAACGAAATTCCAAGTCGAAATTATATTGTTCGATTATTATGATGAATATTCTATCAACAGTCAAAAATGCATTGAGAAGGTTTTCTAGGGTTTTTCTAGTTTCAACATACTCTACCTAATAAGAGCAAAGTCTCATCGAAACGTGAGGTATCATCTCGGATGGTTTCCCCATCACTGTTGTATAATCTAATCGTTGTATAAGATTTACCTATTAAGTATCATTAGAGATGAGTATTTGAGCAATCCAAACACTTGCAATTCATATCGAGAATTTATATCCTTTTGACTGAAGAGAAAAAACAAAATTTCAGATTTTTTTTGTTCAAAAATGTACGAAATATATGCTTAAACAGAAATTTTTGTAGAATATTATCTTTTTTTCTATATAATAGATTCAGTGTAAGAATTAATATTTATTTCTTTTTACTTATTTTTGGTGGACAGATTCGTTGATCGATCATTGATAGTGGATAACAAACAGAAACATAATGACATCGAGGATAATGAACACATACATGATCAAGATTTTTACAGTAATCATCTGGCATTTCACATGGTTTTAAATGAGAACATTTAATCCGAAGAAAACCACAAAGACCACTATCATTAGATATTGTTAAAGGAAGACATCCGCAATCAATATTAGTTGAACATTGATCATATGGAGACATTTCACGACATGTTTGAGAATTCACTCGAACTATCAATGAAATAGATTAGCAAATAAATAAAACAAAACAAGTATTAAACCTGCAAGGCTAAAACAGAAAACGTCATTGGATTTTAAATTAATTCTAGAGACAGACACGAAACTACTTACATGAAAAGAACGAATAGAAAACAATGATTTGGTACCATATTTATAGCTTGATTAAAAAGCATATTCATATACACAAGTGGTATTTTCGTTAGACTATTCTTCTAAAAATAACCCTTAGAAAATTCGATCATTGGAACACAATACATTTCAATCTATCTATTTTTAATGTTCTCGTTCGGAAAAAAATAAATAATTTTTTCACCGACTATTAGAGACTATAATGACTGTTATTCTTTATTTAGTCTATGCTTGCTCAGCTTTGTATCGTGACCTCTTGATCGAGCGTTGACCTTCTATCTCTTTCTGTGTATTCTCATAGATGTGTGTAATAAAAGAAAAAGAATACTTGTGAGAATGCAGATGTTGCAAGGTACCATCCTTCTGAAAGATGAGCATATTCAATAGAAACAGTCTATACATAACAAATATTAATAGATGATAGTACTATTTGACAGGATATAACATGTAGTAATGTACATGTAACCTATATCAGATGGTATTAAAGTATTCCTTGATTTTTGACTAATTTTTGCTTTAGTAAAATACAATTCTACAATAAGATTATACTGAAATAATGTCTGAATGAAATAATGGCTTTCGGCTCATGACTAAAGACTGGCGTGACCTCCGTGACTCACAGTCACAATCATAACCATTTTTTAAAAACACTTCATGACCAAGACTAGAACCTAGTCACGATCATTACGGCAAAATTTTAATGCAGCAATCAGAGGTGCACGGGGACTTTGATGTCCCACCTTACCCGTCCCTGTAAAGCTCGTAGAAAAGTTTCTATTCTTTATTTAGCTTATTTCCAGTGATTTATTCTACATAAATGATTCATCAAGGAATAAATCATTTAATTGGAACATTGTTGTCGATAAAAGAGAGAACACATTCTAAATATTAATTGTACAAATTAAATGAATTTTATTTTATTTTTTCGCTTGTTAATAGAAATCAATGATTGCGGTTCAATATAAGAGACGACAAGGTCCCAACAGAATATAGAAATAAAACAGTATTTTCTTCTTTTTATTTTTGCATACAGGCAGATTCAATCAATCATTCGTTAATCAAAATTGAGAATATTCTCTATAATGTAGCGAAAATTAATAAATATGATGTACTTTCGAGTAGTAAAAAATGTTGACTATTGTTCACTTGCTCGTAGGTGCTTTAGAAACTCGTAATCTCTGAATGATTTAACAAATCTAGTGTATTGCTTTATAATAATTAACTCTTTCGAGAGATACCACCGTTCTTTCTCTGTCTTTATATGTATATACATTTCATTGTTCAATCAACCTGTTGTATATTTGGTGCATTAATAATTAAGTCTGTTTTAAATTGGACCCCGATCACCCTCCTTAATTCACTTTTAATTTGTCTAGTCGATTTTGGCCCCTAAGACAGGAGAATGTGAGTGTGGATATCTTTGCTCATACTCACACCCACAGTCATCCAAATCTAAACAATCCACTATCAAAAATTAAAAATCAATTTAGAAAAAATTTATTTTATTGAACAAGAATAATGCTCAAAGTTTTTCAACTTCTTTCTATCTCTTTCATAGTTTATTCGATAAACAATATTAAATTAAAAGAAAAAATCAAAAACAATTCTAATCTAATCTTCAGGTGAAACCTATCACTCTTACTGAATCTATCATCTATATTTATCACAATATTCAATTAACAACATTGAACTCAAATTTTGTCCGAATATGTGAAAGATTTTATAAAAAAACAAATAATAACTTTCAGGTTAAATTGCCAATTAACATTAATTAAATAAATGCCATGTATGAAAGAAATTTTCGATGATATTGACATAAATTATAATCTGATTGAGATTCTCATTTTTTTTTTATCAGAAAAGATTTGTTTTGTTATGAATCAGTACTTAAAGAGATTTTAGTGAAATATTTTTTATATGTTGTTAAGTAAATTACTCAGTTTTTATTTCGAACTCGTTTAATGAAAATCTTCGTCTTGTTCTTGTTATTAAATCGATGTTTGCTCATTTTTTACCATAAAAATTTATATAAACCAATATTGATATAATAAATAAATGTATTTTAAATGATTGACCATTTGAATAAAATATTAATGAAGAATATTCAGAAGAATCATTTACTAGAGAATATTCATTTTTTATTAGTAATCTATGTTTATTAGAAAATGATGGTGAAACTACTATTTTACGTGAACATGTATTTTTAATCCTCCTTTACTTTTCCTCTCAATAATCGATGTTGCTTGTCGAACATATACAAATAGAATTTTATTTTCAAACTATATATTCGAACTTTATTCGAGAGACTAGGCTACGAAGTTTTCTTTGTATCTTCATTCTCAAAATTTTATTTTAGTTTTTGTGAGAGAGTTAAGAGTATGTAGGGGGAAATGCTAAAAATGGCAACTTTTCCAAATTTTTATGCACTGTTTGACTTGCTACTATTAGTCTTCAACAAGAAAGTAAGAAAGTCAAAAACAATTTCAAATTGTTAAATATTCTATATTTGATGTTTTTTTTAATGAATATCTAATAAAAATATTATGTTATAGAACTGATAAATTGATAATGTTCTCTTCGAAAGTAAATAAATGATGTTTTAGCTTACAATTAAATTTTGATAGTATATCATAATGTAAGATAATAATTATTAGGAAAATTTTTAATAAATAATTCACATAAATTAATACGATTTTCTAAACAAATTAATTTATTATGATGAAAATAATAATAAAAAAAACATATATTTGTTTTTACAATTATTTGTTATGATAGATTTATTAACTATATAAATACAAAATTTATCCATCGTATTAACATTATTCACTTGAATTAATATGAATAATAATGCTATAATCAACCATTGATAAATGTTTAACATAAGATATGTGACTTGAAATGTTGAAAATCAATTTCAGATTTTGTTTCACTTTTTTTCTTTCAATTATTATTACTAAGACATTTTTTGAGAAGAATAAATTCAAATTTGTCTAGTATTTTCCCATTGTTTTTCGATGGGTTAGGCAATCATTTCAAAAATAAATGTCTACTCGACATTTAATCGAACAGAAATAATTTTCTCATAGATGATGATTCCTTAAATCTAAGTTCGATTTTAATCTGAGTCTTCGCAGTAAATCTTATTTTATCTTTTCTGTTAAAAAATCCTACGAAGAAGAATATCAAATCGGTAGTCAAAATAAAAAAGATATGATGATTTCATTTTTTTTTTCTCAATTTTTTTATGTTAATTATGAATCGTTAAAAAAAAGGAATGCTATTTGAGAAAAAAAACCGTATCTAAATGAATATTTTCTTTACTAGGAGTCTTGAATAAACCAATCAGATAAAAAGGTAACACCAAATAGTATCAGAAACAAAAAGATATCAAGATGAATGAATTCTATTTTTTGAAACTTTCAAATCTAAATTATAACAAATATGTGAAGTAGTTATTAATTCATAGACAAATGTGGGAACGGATATTGATCATGATAGAATCATATCTACATCCATTGTGAACTTAAAACAAAAAGGAAGATTAATCAAAAAGAAGTAGTTTAAGAAGACATTTTGTTTTGTTGAAGGTAAGAATCTTTTTGATGAAAAATATTATCAATTTTCAAATAACCATTATGATGGATTGAGAGAACATTGACATCCACATTTAAACCCACCATTGACAATGATTGAAGTAGAAAACGAGTGAATATAATTGCTTTTACACATCTTCTTGTTACTATTATACACAACAAAAAAGATATAGAGTGTGAACAAAACTAAGAACGATAAATATCCATAGACCAACATTCTGTTTCTATAACCATAATATTTTTTCGAGAAAATATAAATGAATGGGGAAAATAATCTTATCATGAGCGAACAATAATGCTCAGTAGTGCTGTCTTAGAATGTGTTCATCTATACAGTTATGATTTTCCGATAATAAAGCATATAAAGTGGTAGTGTCAAATTAGCTATGGTCAATAATATATTGAATTCGAATAATCTGATCTCATCTCAAAATAACAGTATAATAACGACAAATTGAAATTCTCTTTCAATTGAATTTAATATCAGATAATAAAACGTAAAAATTTCATTTCATATTTTTTTACGATCATTAATCATTTGCGGAAAACACATAGTTCAATAAATTCTCCTATGTTTTCAACAGCATAAAAAGACGTTACCTTTACTATCAGTATTTTATTTTATGTTTGATTGAAACGAAAGATGATAGTTTCGTTTTTATATAGAATGAGCTTGCTTTTACTTTTATACAGATTGATGTTTTATTTAAATGAATTTCTCCCTTTCATTCTCAAGTATAGAAAAAACAACATAGAAATGAGACTAATATACTGTTGAACTACAAAAGTATCGTATTCGATAAGTAACAAAAAGATTAAATTTTAGAGCATTCTTTTCAATTTTTTTAAATCTAAAAACTCTTAAAAATAGAGTCGCCATTTTCTAAAATTTGCATTCCTCCTTAAAAATTTAATGATTACAAGCTGTAAGAAGAGAAGCTTAATGCTACGTAAAATTCAAAAATGTGTACTGTATACTATTGATCAATACTATTTTAATAATAGTTATTATTTCGATACATTTTCTTGAAACGTTCCATCTTATTTTCTTCATTTACAAAACAATTGTTTCACGAAATCTCCAAACATACGTATATACAAGATAGATTTTACGAATATCGTATGAACCCATAGTACTGCTTCTCGTTTGTGGTAAATAGAAACATATCAAAATATAAATGACCATCTAGATGATCGATAAAGTTGTTACCACTAATCATACGAATATTGCTGTTTTTGTTTTTTTATTAAATTCGAACGGCGTATGAGTGCTATCCATGGATTAAAAGGTCTTTCACCATGTAGAGCAGTCTTTTAAGCTTGTCTGTTATGATTTGCGATGGAAAATTAACTAATTTGTCTAAAATGCTCTGGTATGGGAGGTGAGAATTTCCGTGTAGATGGATATGAGTTACTGAACATTGACACTGACACTCACACTCAACAGGTGAATATTGTACTCTTTTTGGAGTTGATAATCCAGTCGTTGTAAAATTTCGAACTCATAGAGTAAAGCAATCGAAAAGATTCTAAAATGGATCAATGAACTTTCCCTCGTAACCGTATGAAGTGTTTCGCACCATCTACGTACTAAGTATGACAAAAGGGATACGATTTAACTTTCGTAATTTTTGGAAGCGACTATTTCTCCTATTGTATGATAGCACCCTCTATGTTGGTGTGTCTTTTGCTACTTCCTTTTAAAAAAAGCTTAAAGCATAGTTCGATAGAGAGAAAAGATTTTCTCTATTTTTTTTAATATTAGTATTATATTGAGCGCACTTCGAAAATTAACCTGCCAATAGTGAAAGATTTGCTATCATTTCGTATATTTGCCCTGTTGTTGTTTTTTTCGATTTTTCTTATCGTTCTGTGCATTAAAATGAGAAGAATTCAAATGCGATGCATCATGAAGTGTTGATGGTGCACGTAGGTAGACAATTTTCGTGTATAGTTGGAAAATAAAATACATAACAGCAGCTTTTCTAATGGCACATGTGTAGACAATAAAAGCAGAATGTAAAGATATCTGTAATTGTGAAAAAATGATGTCCTCGTGCTTGACGAAATAATGTTTTGTTGTTGGGAATTTTACTAGGACGTATTACTAATACAATATAGGAATTTTCACTGTGAATTAAGCAGTTACATTTTCTTTTTTTTTTTTTTTGGGGACATTTTTTCTTTGATTCTGGGAATTTTTCTTGTAACAACACACATCTCCTCTCTCTGTTAATGTCTTCTGATATATTTTTCTCGGGTGTTTACTTGAATCAGTGTGTACACTCTATATTTTATTCTTAGATTTTGCAAATGAAATAGTGCATACCCTAGTGCAACATCTTGTAACCAAGATCTTGGTCAAGATACAAGGTACAGAAATGTTAACAGATCTTGAAAATTGAGCTACAGATATTAATATCATTATCTTTCTACCAAGATCTGTAATCAGATCTTAGGTACAGATCTATAAGATCTTAACTGAAATATCCCTGTTCAAAAGTGATCCCTAAAAGTCGTTTACGGATGACCCTAAATACTACCGAGATAGTCAATCCGAAGTAAAATTTGACGCTGAATATGAATCTAAAATTGGATTGCTACTGCAAACACAAGGAGTCAAGTTAGAGGCCAATGGTCAGTTCGAAAACCGTTCAAAATCGTCGTCCTCAAGAATACCACTGAATGAAGATCACGTTTTCTTAAACAATTCGGGACAATCTAGCTCCAAGCAGTTGTAATATCATCCGTAACAGGTACTATCAAGTCAAGATCTTGGTGAAAGATGATAACGTTATTATCTTGTACCTAAATTATCAAGACCTGTTAACATTTCTGTTCCTTGTATCTTGGCCAAGATCTTGTCACAAGATAGTAAGATCTTGGTACAAGATCCAAGATCTTGCTTACAAGATGTTTCACTAGGGTAAGCATTTGACATCAAGTAAATTATCAAATATATATGTCAGCTACAAATAAATCTCATTTTGAAGTGTTACCCATTGAAATAATTCATCAAATTTTCAATTATCTCGATGTAGAAACAATTCTATTTTCAATACGATGTATGAGTAAACAATTGTATTATGCCGCAAATATTTATGATCGGTATGAATTAAACTTTCTTTACATGTTCAAATCTGATTTGCCCGTCATAGCTCGTATTATTAATCCTAAAAATATCGTTTCGATAACGCTTTCGGATGAATTACAAACAAACAATCAAATAGAATTATTTTTTTCTCATTTTCGTATTGATCAGTTCATTCAGTTACGTTCATTGAAACTTACCAAAGTATAAGCCAGTGATTTGAATAAATTTAAAAACCACACAATGCAATGTTTATTAAGAACATTTTCAATTTCGTTAGATGGAATTCATCTGAACACACATATGTCACTTATATCATCTATCTTGTCAAATCATAATCTTCATAAATTCGAATATAAAGGATTCTCTGATAGTATCAGTGAGCTACAATGGCCTAATCAATGTAGTTTGAAACACGTAATAATATATGAATGCCATTGGAAGACACTTTATACTATTATTTCTCACCTACCTTATCTACAAACGCTTATTATAAACAATCTTCGTAAGTACAGTTCCGATAAGTGTGCTGTCATGAATGATCTAACAAGCAATTTAACATCGCTCTTATTAAATATTTGTACGGGTATAAAAATGAATGATGTTGAAACACTCCTTTCACAATTACCTGTATTAAAGCATCTTCGATTACTCTTTCCAAGTTGTGAACCTAATTCTGGATTATTTGATGGTTATAGATGGGAGAAGTTCATCCGAACGAAATTATCTCAGTTGAATAAGTTTGAATTCTCATTTGAAGTTTTTAAACGTTTTAATTCAAATGATGTTACAATAGAATCATTAGTTGCATCGTTTCGAACTCAATTCTGGCTTGAAAATAAAAATTGGTTTATCAAGTGTAATCTTCAAGAAGGAACAGGTGGTGAAGCATTTCATCTATATTCAATACTACTCTTTAAGAATTATGTCACATATCCAGAGTATCGAAACGCAATTCAACATTCGACATCGAACATAGCTGATAATAATGCAACAATCATTGTTAATACATGTGAGTTATCCTTGAACTTGGATAAAATGACATTTAATGAATCTCAACAAAATGTAAGCATTATTTTAATAATTTGATTTATTATTGTTACTTAAAATTGAGTCATGTCTAAAGCTTATATTAGATTTGCACCAATTGAATATTAAGGTATTGTCTCGACTCAAATTATAGATAGTTATTATAGACTTTTGCTATTCGTTCATCATAAGTGATTATAACTGTTCTCGAATGCACTATTTATTGATGAATTCAAACTCTAAAAACATACTTTAAATGAATGATCAATAAAATGTTGTTGAGTTCATAACCAAAGTAGCAGTAAAGAGACAAGTTGGCTTAAATCATGTTTAAATGATCCATTATCTTGAAATTTCTTCATGAAGAAATTCAGTATTTAGAAAATTCTTATACGAAACGGATTAATTTTTTAATTTTTTAACAACGAATTGCATCGAAATCCTCGTTACTAATATCAAATCATTTAAGATTCGAAAATATGTTTTTCTATATTGAAGAAAATCGCTTGCTGTTTGAAAAAAAACAAACATTAGTAAATAACTGTTCTGTGAATTCAAATTTTATACTGTTTGATTCTCTTTAAGGATAAAGTGACGTAGGAATAAAAGTCTGAAAGAGAATTGTCTCTTTTTCAACATAGAATCTTTTTAAAGATCTGTAAAAAGGAAATTGATTTCTTCATGCTTTCAAATTAACAACGAAAAATATTCAATAAAAAATATTATAAAGAGAAAATACTTGCATCTAAAGCTCTTAAATTGTTTAACTCAATGTAGAATTTTCGTAAATTAATTTTTTGTTTCATTTGAATGTGATGATTCATATTTGATATTTGAATATTTTCAAAATATTCTACGTTGTTTTTTTACTTTAGATTAGTTCAGCATCAAATTATTTCTTTCAAAATGTAACAAAACTTTATCTCAGCATCAATCAAACATGGTCTATAGATTTAATAAAACATCTTTCAACAATTGTTAATCTATCGTGTCTTAAAAAATTGACGTTAATACTTTGGTCTAAGTCTGAAATTATAAGTTTTCATGAAGGTGCTAAAATTCTATTCAATCAAACTTCGAACCTTCGTTCAATTGAACTAATGTGTGATTATGATACAGTAGGAAAGTTATTTCTGACTGACATCCTTTCAAATTTACCTTGCCATGTCAAGCATCTTGAAACTAGTATTCGCAATGTGGAGCACGCGACAATGATATTGGAGAGAGCCGAATATTTATCAAATGCCAAGTTTCGAGTATTTAATGGATATGAATTTTGGACTCATATCACTAAATGGCTCTCCCAAAACGGAAGAGAAGCGACAATTAAGGAAGCGCTTGTACCCCATTCTTGTACAACGGCACCACCTACATGTAATGTGTACCTGTGGTTTTGAAAAGCGCATGAATACACAAATAGATGCATCAAATGAAAGCAAACGTGTGAAGTTAATGCATCCACATAACTCGTCATGATTCAATGATTTCATTTTTTTGTGTATCCAATTAGTTTCTATCATTCATTAATATGTTAATCGATTTTTCGTATGATTTTTTAATGAGATTCTACATTTTTCTGGCTAGTTTTCTCTTTCTTTAATAAACATATTACATAAAAATATTTATTTAAACAAAACTTTTTTTTCTTCATGCTCGATCACACATACTAACTAGATTTATTCCATGAATTCATTAATTCTGATGTTTATATTAGCAACGTGTGGGTGAATATTCAAGTGATTAGGATTTCTATAAATGCGGAAACAACTGTTTAAAGAAATCTCAGGAGCTTTCTTAGTATTTGAGGAACATTTGAAACATGATACGCCATGTATAGGACATGTCCCAATTTTATTTTATTTTCCAAAGAATTTTAACATTGTTGAATAGAGACTCTAATCCTATACGATATGAGTGAAATATATATATTTTTATATAGACTTTTTTTCTAGGCAAAAAGATAATAGACTTTAAACTTGGTAAAATATCTGATATGAAGCTCATGCTTTTCTATAGATGAAACGGGTGAGTGTTAGTGGTGTTTGCTCAGCAAAAATACAAGTTTCAAATTGCAACTTATGAGTATTTTTAGGACTGATTATTATTTTTTCAATAAGGATACTTCTATGAAATGTTTACTCTCTTATCATCAAATTCGCAATTAAATCCGCAGCACATTAGTTTCGAAATCGAGACATGACATTCGTAAATGTTCAAACTCATTTTACAAAAATGTGTTGGACAAATTTTCAGAAAAAAATTTGCCAACATCCTTGGAATATAGTTTGTAAAAATTTATAGGAACAATCAAGTTTGTTAAAAAGTTGTCAATAACTAATATAATCTCGCCGCAATCAATAGACCACAAAAAAGGTGCATGAGTGTCAGACAAAAGCCAATATCAAAATGTTATTCTAAACGTTTTTCTCGTTTCACTTCAAATTTCAGCATATATTTATTTCTAAATTGTTTTACACTATTAGAAAATCTTTTTGAAACATTACTTTAAATTATTATAAAATAAAAGCATTTATGTTCAAACTAATTTTACTTAGCAACTAGATTGTATAGTCTTTCAAGTATGTTTTCATGAGTGGTGGAGAGTCAAGTTTTCTTTTGGCAGAAAGTACTCTCATTTTCGTTTTGTAATAATTTTTGATCATAGTGCGAAGAGAGAAACCATAGCTGATACTAAATTATGCATTTCTCTTTATCTCTCCTCCATTCTGTTAGTTTCCTCAGTGTCTGTATAAGTATCTCAGAAGATATTAAAAATTTTTCTCAGAAATTCTGCCATTTTAGATAGAAAATTCTGCTCTAATTGGGTGTAACTGTGGGAGTTTTCCGAGAGGTATCCCACATACATATAACAAAGCATATATACCCATACCCACATTGTACTGTAGTTTAGTTTTAATATTGATTAATATGTATTATGATCAATCATTTTAAAATTAATTGAATTGGATGAATATCTTTTTTAATGATAACTTTTGATTAAATATTGAACGTAACAATATTCAATACTTATTTTATTTCATCTAAACTTAAAACAAAAATAAAAAAAATCTTGGCTAACTTTTACTTTGTATCAAAGTAAATTATTTTCTTTTTGACTGAAATTCATTATTTTAATAGGTTTGGTTTGTGAAAAGTCAACGTTAGTTTTCATCGACATGTATTATATAATTGGAGTTTTGTGATCAAATATGAATTTAATTACATATATTATATCTGATGAAATTATGTTCGAATATTTCATTTATTGATTGTAAAGGACGTAATTGAATTTTGTCAATCTAAATGATTTATATTAATTTCAATAGGCAATTCCAATGTTAATTTTTTATTTGATAATTCAATTTGATTAGTTTCAACCAAAATCTTGGCAAAAATTCAAGCAATTTTCAATTATAGATTATTGAAAAGACTTGGATCTTCATCAGTATCTTTGTTATCTTCTTCTGCTTTTTCAGGAACCGTTAAAATTGATTTTTGTCTACGAATGCTTTTCAATTATTAGTTGCAAAAAATTTCAGTTAACTCTCAAAGAATCAGTACTGTTCAAGATGCTCTAAGTCTGTGCAATTGGACACGCTCTTTGAAACAAAAAAAAAAAAAAAGAACTGTATAGAATAAAAGTTCACAGCGAATTTCAAATTATTATATGAACTATGTTTGTATCTTTGTATAGAGTCTGATGAGAAAAGTATCCGATAAACTTTGAGCAACGATCTTTTATTCAGTTTATGAAATAACAATTCGAAGATTTAGAATTTGATTGGTTCATAAAGAGAAATTTTTTCTAAAAAAATTTCAAAACTATTTACTGATTTTTTTAAGTGTTTTTTGTCCAACCATGTCTTAAAGAGTTCATATAATTGAAAATAATATTCAACAACAAGTAATGACAAGATACGTATAGTGATAGATTGATATGTTGAACAATACAGAAAGAAGTTTCGGACATATTAATAATGCACAATAGATGGCTAATAATATAAAACAATATGTAAAAGCAAAGTCAGATCGAATATCTGCGAACTTATACATTTGTTAATCTCAATCTTAACCTGGTTGGATTCAGAAATGAATTTTTTTTTGCGACAGTGTTTTGTACTCTCTATGTGTACATCAACAAGTTAAAGACAAAGTATTTAGCGTTTAATTGGTTATTCTAAGAAAAAAATGTTAATTCAAACTCGACTAAAATTTTGAAGAATCTACAGTCCCCTATCAACGATTCAATATAGCTTATCATCACTGACACTAACATTTGTTCAATCGTTGGAACGTACAGCTACAAAAGAACGTTTATTCTAATAATTTTAATTTTAAAATATAGCTCCAAATACGGATGTTAATGTTCCAGTAAACTCAACTTCTGTGGTTACTCACTATTCAGTATTTACACTAGCAATATATATCGCTATGAAGAACATAAGATTCCGATCAATTCTAGAAGAAAGTTTCTTCTTATTTATACAAATGATCAAATAGTATTATGATGAATACTTGTAATTTGTACTAATCTCTTCCATAGTTCGAAGAAAATATTTCTATCATAAAAAAAAACTTTTCCTTCTTACCTTGCTTGCATAAACTTTTCCATATAGTTGTTTTAAAACAATTTCAATTAATATAGAGTAAAATATTCATGATTTTAATTTGTTTTTAATATTTCTTTAATCATGTGTATAGTTCTTGCACTTTTCATTTTTATTGAATATAAATTAGGGTGTGGGTGGGTGTGGATGTGGGTGTGCGCGGGTGTGGGTGTGGATGTGGGTGGCTGTGGGTGTGGGTGTATGGTGTGTGAATAATTGTCTGCAAACCCACACACACACCCACGCCCAGAACCATGCCCATACGCACATCCACCTACACCCAAACCCACACCCACACCCACACACTCCACACCCACACCCACACCCCACCCACACCCACACCCACACCCCACACACCCACACCCACAACCACAGACCAACTAGCGGTAAAAAGCTTTTTTCACGTGCAAAACTTAACCTAGTCGAAATATAAATTCGATATTCGTAATCAGC